ACAATGACACGATAAAGAGTCTCCAAATCATTCACAAGTGATGTGGGGGGGGGGGATCCGTCCATCTTGGCTTACATACAGTAGATGCACTCATAGACAAACACGCACACACACCGTATGGAGATACACACACGCCTTCTCAAAATCCACAGCCACACACGGGCTGCCCATGCAGAGCTCTCAGGAGGTACAGCAGTCTCCATGTGGATGACGTTCCCTCTGGGGATGAGAACAGCAACGGTGCATGGAGTCTCCATGGCGAGGGTGGGGTGAGGAGCACATCAACACTGACACAAATGGCACGCGAGGGACAGGGAGAGTCCGATGATGGCCGCAGCTGGGACCAGGTGCCAGGTGGGGGCGCCACTGCGTCCACTCTGCTGGGGATCGCAACATTCATCTGCTATGAGGCAATGATTTGGGGAGCAGGAGGGTGGGGTGATGTTAAGGAGTTATGCAATGAAGAATCGCAGGATTGGAGGAATAGAAATAATCACACAGCAGATGGAAGAAAGATATCATGGAGAACAGCAACATGTAGCATGAGCACCATGCAATGGGCAGCAGTTACATTTCATACATGACAAATCAGGTGAGGAAGCATGTATTAAATCATAAAGAGGACCAGATACGGGTTTGTGGGAACATTGTAGAAATTGGAATCAAACAAAAGTACAAGACGAAATGTTAACACCGGAAGTTCATTGAAGGATCAACAGTGAAATGTTTTGAAAAAGGCAGAGTTCGAAAGACGAATCACACAAAAACAGAAGGTAGCGCAGTAAACAGCGATTTGCATTTCGTCGGGTAGATAGAACAGGGTTAATTACAAAATTGGGGGAAAGGCAGACATATTTTGATTTAGGAATATGGAAAAAACAAGACATTGAAAAGGGAAGCGGGATAACACAGCAATCATGGGTGTTTATTTTCAAGTGGGGTTTATAAAAAAATAGAAAGGCAACAGGTTTAGTGGTTGTTCAATGAGAAACAAAGAAGCCGCAGCCGTTTGCCGTGGTGCCGAATGCGATGCATTATTCATCAGGAGGGAAGAGAAGCGCAGGATGGTTTGGAGAGAAACAGCGGGGGCACAGACGATGGGAGGGCGTGAGTCAGCAAGGGGGGGTGGCAGGGGGGTGAGAGAAGATACACAAATGAAAATTGATTAACAACACAACGAATGACAACGATCACACGCAGTGCACTGAGATAGATTATGTATGACTACTGAGTTTGCACACACACGCACACACACACACACACTCGCACACACACATGCACGCACACGCGTACACATGCACACATACAGGTTTGTATTTATATCGTTGTGGGGATCGTGCATTCATTTTTATGAGCATAACCGTAATTCTAAGTATAACATTCTTAACCCCTACTCAGACTTTTGGCATTTTTAGTTTTTTGATTGCATTCACAGCTTTTTTTGTTTTTAATTGAGGATGATGAAATTTGTGGGGACCAGAAAAATGATGACTCTACAAGGTAAAAAAATATTATTATCGCATTGTGGGGAAATATGGTACCCATAATGCAATGATTACACACACACACACGCATCCACTCTCACTTTACTGCGGTTTATGATTCATACCATCAGCAATTTTACGTTTAAACTTTAAAGAAGTGGATTCCCTCCCCCTGCGAGGTTCTGTCCGTCATGTATATGTATCAGGCTTTGCCTCTCTTCTGGGGATGAAGGTAATGCACTATGTACACACAGGGATACTCCCAAGCTCCAGCTTAAAAGTTTCTCCCCCCGATTAGAGAACACCTTACATGAGGGGTTTTGCTTCCTCCGGCTTTATGGATAAAGAGACAGGAAGGGCTATCTCTCATGTACTGCCGAGATGAATCGAAGTTGGGATTCCCTGCCTGTCCTCCTCCCAAAGGTCCCCCGAGCTCCGGGCCACGGTGCGGAGACTTAATGAAAGCAGACAGGCAATCGCGTTTAAGCAAACTGCTATACGGACTCACTCTCCGTTAGAGAAGCAGGCTGGACGTAAAGCGGCCGGCGTCACGACAAAGACACCAGGGGCCCAGTTGTGGCCTTCCATCAGACGCAAAGTCTTCAGAACCACATCTACACCTCCTCTACGAATGTGTCACTGGGTGCAGTTGGGTGAATTTTGAAAATGCCGCAGTAAATAAGCCACGTTAAGCCCCGAAGAAGGGTAGATGTAAGAATGCATAGATGAGGGGATTCAGCCCAGACGAACGACACCAAATCCCTGGGCTATGGCTGCGCCGGACAGCTCAGTGACATTTTTGCTGTCAGGCACAGAAACGTTATGGCGGAGTATTTGAAGCAGCTATCATTAACAGAAGGGGTGGTAGACAGATATGTGGCTGAATCGGAAAGGTTTTGGGTTCGAATCCTGTTGCTGGCATAGTATAAACTTTTGGACCCTTGAGGCCCAGCCGTACCACAGAAGGTGGCTGTCGCTGTTCTCTGGCCCCAGGTTTTCCTCACTTTGGACAAACCTGAGCACTAAACATGTGAATGATAACAAATGTTTATATTATATACAAATACATACACAGCTTTGGAAAAAAATTAAGAGACCACAGCAAAATTTTCAGTTTCTCTCATTTTTCAATTTATGGGTATGCGTCTGTGTAAAATATACTTTTTCTTTTCTTTTTCTTTTTGCAAACTGCAGCTAATGCTTCACATTGTTGAAGGGCTTCTCCTTCACTTTATGGGACTTCAGTCCTGCTTCTAGGAGCCTGTTATGGATTGCCCTAGCAGTGCACTTCACACGACTAATGTTTCCCATTCTTTTTGAAGGTCACTTGAGGCACCGACGGATAAGTTGACCGTCATCTCTGCCATTAGAAAGTTGCTTCTGCCCTCCGCCTGCCTGGTTTTCGGTCATTGCCAGTGTGTCCTGTTTCACCTCGTTCTTGTGTCCTGCTGTCTTAGAAACTTTGAGCCTGGAAGAAACCTGCTGCTCAGAGGAGCCTTCTGGCAGTACAACCAGGATTAAACCAGGATGTAAAAAATAATTTTTATAAAAATATGGAGTGGACTTTTAATTTTTTCTAGAGCCGTATATGCATTTAATGAATCTGCTACATGTAAAAGCTGTAGCATCTGATTTTCCACACAAATAAACCGCTTCATAAACATGCATTAGCAGGTTTTGAATTCAATAGTCGACAATTTAGCAGTGGACTACCATTGATGGCAAACTTAATTGCTATGTCACCTGTGTCATTCCTGTTATGAAGGATTGGCACTCCCCATCTCTGAAAATGTAAACAATGATTGCTTTGGGTGTTGCTACCTGTCGGACATATTCTGCGTGTGAAGGGTGCCAAGAGTAACAAAATGAACTAATAAAAACATAAACATTAACTTTCTGTCTATGCTGGGTCGCTTTCCTTCACTTCTCTCCTGCATATGTATCCCAGTATACTGTACACACTGGAATGCTTACCCCTTTGTGTGCATTCAAAGACAAACTTCTGATATTAATGTAGATTAGAGGTTTTCAACCTTTCTTAAACCAGGGACTTCCAAATGAATACGGACCATCCCTAGGGCCCCCCACCACCGATGCGTGATCATATAAGCAGAGGTGGCACAAAGTACAAATCTAGAACAATCTTTTGTTTAAAGTATAAAGAACCACAGTCATAGTGTACTTAACAGGTCAGGTGAAGCAAAATCTTGGTCTGGATTCGTACTTTCTGTACCTGAACTTCCTACCTCTGCACATAAATAACTAAAGCAAGGACTGGGGGGGGGATTTAATATTTCTGACTCAGGGGAAGGTTCCCCTTGAATATTTTGGGGTCAATGTATTGCGTAGATTGGATTATTACACTGACCCTGCTGGGCCATGGTCCCCAGTCTGAAAATCTCTGATATCTAACATATTAGATACTGCCAGTTTCATCCAGAAGACCGGAATTATACTCTAGAGAAACCAGCCATGGAGAGATTCCAACAAATAAGACCTTCTGCTTGGTGTATTCAAAGTATGGTATAGTGCAGATAAATAATTTTAGCCTGTCGGTATTTCTCCACCTGCGGGGAGTGAGTGAAAGAATGGAAATATCAGAGTGCAAGACTCGTGAATCAAATATTCAATACTTGGGGTAATCCCACACTAGCAACAGGTGTGCGGAATATGGTAGGATTTCCCCTGCGGTCCTCTGGCAGCGTATAAATAACCTGAAGCATGATACAGAGAGCCAGCTTGGCTGAAGGACGAAACCTTAGTGACATACACCCACTGGATAATTGCTGCCATTTGGCAGGCGCTTATGCAACAAAGTCGACTGATACTGCTGGCATTTCGCAACAAAAAAAATATGATATAAGAGCAGCAGGACAAAGGAGATGGATCTGCGGTGAGCGTTTGGAGAAGCTACCACGAGAGGTTTGCCTACGGGTGCCAGCTGGCCGGATCCGCGTGGGGCTAGCAACAAGAGAAGCTTAAAGACGTCGTCAAGGAACTGTATTCTTTATTGATTCAGCCCATGAGTCCCAATCAACAATTAGGCTTGGGCAGGTTGTTGGGCATCATAGGGCCACCACCTGCTTCATTAGTGGTAAGAGGTTCCTTTCCTCACCAACACAGAGGGCTACTAAAGACAACTGGAGAATGATAAGAAGAAGAAGAAGAAGAAGAAGAAGAAGATGGACATTTGCATACCCGTGATGTCAGGCTTCTGTGGCATGGAGAACTGGTAGTAGTTGGGCTTCGAAAGACCCTTGACGTTCCTCGCGGTGATCTCAACCTCGTAGCGCGTGTTCCACTGCAGGTGTTGCAGAACCACGAAATCATTCACGCCGGGAACCAGCTTCGTCATCCACGGCTCCTCTTTCTCTTGCTGAAACGTGAAAAAACAGCCACCGTTACCTTATGGCCAGAGCCCCCAAATCTCTCCATCATCATAATATTTAAAAATGCATTGCAACATATTTCATAACATTAAAACGCGTCTACAACGGTCTTACATGGTCTAGGAATAAACCGATTAAAGCAAAACAATTTTTTTTGGCTCTGCCTCCAAATCTGTTTGGTTTGCTGGTGAACCAGAGCCAGTCCTGGAGGGCATATGGAGCAAAGCAGACCAGTCCATCACGGTGGACTCACGGTATGGGGAACTGAGAGTCTCTACAGCTAAACAGATTGCTTTTGGATGTAGGAGGATAGAAAAAGAACAACAAAAAACCTCAGAGACAAAGCCCACACAAACACGGAGAGGGTTAGGAAACTCCAAGCAGACGGGCTGGTAGTGGATCCAAACCCACAACCCGCTGCTGTCTTACCCAGAGACACATACATATATACAGCATATATATATATATATATATATATACACACACACCTTATATACATACTATATCTATATATTTATGCTGTATATATATACGTTTATATTTATATATATATATATTTTATTATATATACATTTATAGTACATATACATCTGTGTGTGTTATATATATATATATATATATATATATATATAATTGTTATATAACTTAAGTTAATTTTACAGCTATCGTGTTCAGCTGACATGCATACAGTGCTTGTGAAGGTTTACTTCAGACTCCTTTTCCTCTCAGTGCCGTTGTTCTGGCATTTTCTAAGGAGTGACAGAAGATGTGGAAATAATCGCATTGAAGATGAAAGTGTTCTATGGGGGAAGAATGCTGTCTGCTTCCCATTCTTCGGCGCAGAGTAGCTTCCTTTTGGCTGGCTCAGGGGTTGAAGCGGCAAAGCCTTTCTTTACCTTCACCGTTCAATCCTTAATCCTGTGAGTTTGCTTCGCATCGAGACCCGGTTACGGTTCAACATGCAAAGTGGAGACGGCGCCCCCCAGCTGCCCCTCGCGGACTCAGCCACACACATTAACTGGCGTTGCTAAAAAGCTAAAAAACTGCCTTTCATATTATATTTCCATTCTGAAATACTGAAGTGCCAGAAAGGACGAAATGAACGTTTACCATCTCAACAGCCCTCATCTAGGTTCCCCGCAGGCTGTTCCCCATGTCTGTATGGTGGGAGCAAAGCCGCTTCCATATATAAACGTCTTTCACCGTGGCTGCCATTAAAACAGTGCTTATATGATGACTTCTCAGCTGAGGCAATGTGATAACCACTCCATGATCGAGGAAATTCACACTAAAGGGAGATGTTCTGGCACGTGAGAAAACAAAGAAAAACTTGGGAAAAGACCAAATTATTATCAACAAGATTTTGTACATACATTACATATTTTTGTTTCATCTAAGATGTGACATTCACCTCGGGAACCTGTGCTGCACAGCCTCAAAAGCCAGTAAATCTTGTTTGGAGGCAACTTGAGGAGAATCAAATGGATTTTATTTCCTACGTTGTCATGTCTAAAGTCGAAGGCTTTCTTTTTTAGTTGGCTATTATCAAGGGATCTCAGAAATATATTAAAGTCTGCTTTTCAGAGAGGGTTCTTAAAAGGGATGAGTGTATCTGTGTGTGTGATACGTATTAGGTTACAGTGCATGTGCAAGAGAGTGGTAAGAACCTTAGAGCTATTAAATTGTTGGCCACATAATGAGCATGACTCGTTGGAGCCCTGTATGGGAGACCAAGGGCCTTGTTAAGGAGACGGACCAGACGGGAGGAAGAATCAGCGGCTGGACGGAGGAACAGTAGCCACAGAGGCGTCCGTCACACCCCCAGGGACCGAAGAATCCAGACGCATCGGATATCACCCAAGGCAGGAGCCTGCTGCTGTCTCGTTTCATCTCTCTCTCTCTCACCCCCGTCCTTCTTTTCTGTTCTCGGCCTTATTATCAGTCTTCTACAGTTCCTCTCTCTCCTCTCAACAACTCGCTCGCCCTTTCTGGGGGACAATATGCCATCCTCACCCTCCCCCCCCCCCCCCCCCATCCGGAGTTTTAATTTCCGATTCGCAGCAGACTGAACGAAAATAAAAAATGCTTCAGCGATTACGGCGAGTGAAGCTCAGATGCTCCCCAGGGAGGATTGGCGCAGCAAACGGACGCCTGTTTTGTTGCGTAAATATCTTCCACTCTTGACACACATGCACGTGTCTGTCCCAATGTGCCGGGGGGGGAGCAGCCTGGCGTGTACCGCTGCCTGCGCCACAGAAATGCGGATGTTAATCACGTCCCATGCTCACTGCCGTTCGGTATTACTTCGCTTGCCATGCGCCGATAATGTTGTGCCAATTAAACCAAACTTCGGCAGCGGCAAATGCGCCGCTGTTGGGGAGAAAATGTATTTTTTTATTATTCTCCTGCCGGATGCTGCCTTATCCGGGATCCGCTTACTTTTGACGGGTGAAGACGGAGACAGCTCCGGCTAATTTGCGTCACGTTAAAAAGGCCCTCCGTTTTTTTTTAAAGGTACGCCTCGATGTTTCCCGGAAACCTGGTGGCGCTCCGGAACCCATCTCCGTTTGCGGGCATCAGGCCCACGCTGATCCCTGACAGCCATGCTATTACACAATTAATTACCTATTTCATTATATTGCAGAAAAAAGTTTTTTTTTTCGTTCTTGCCAAGATATTTAAAAATAGATTATACATCAGTGCATACTGTGCTATTAATTCTTTTTTCCCATTTATGCTCATTCCGTGATAGGTGTTGCGTGACTGATCAAAAGCAAATAATTCATTCGGGTCTGCTGCTACTAGATGTCTGGGACTTTTTGAAAGACAGCTTCTCCTGTCACGCAGACTGCAGTTTAACTGGAGGAATGTCATTAGTCGGCTGTGACAGGGAGCTCCGCTGTGGCAGGACAGATTTGGCCTCGTTGCGGCCCGCTTTGCCAGCCTCTTGATGCTGCAGGTTGGAGGGGACCCTTGGCAAACCGCCATTATCGTTCCCGGTTCAGTCAGTGCCGCCCAGGGACCACGTGGCACCCTTGGAAAGCTTCACTGACCAATTTCAGTTTGTTTTGGACAGTGTGCACTCCCTCTCACGGCAGGGGGTGGGGGGCTTGCTAGGGGGTGGGGGCACCACTAGTGCCAGAGGTGTAAAGTATCAAAGTACAAATACTTAAGTTGTTTTTTTCTGAATTTTTACTTTACTTAAGCATTTAAAATTGTCGCAGCTTTTACTTTCACAATTTTTACTCTGGTACATTCATCATGAGACCACTCACCCAATTAAAAAAATATAAAAATATGTATTAAAAATAACCTATTTGCAAAAAGCATGCAGCATGCCTGAATGTAGATATACAATGCAAAATTGAATATCTTTATTATTATTATTATTATTGTTGTTGTTGTTATTGTTATTATGTAGAGATACATGGTATGTCAGTTAACATACTGGTTTTGCCAGCTGATACTTTATCAATATTCAAAGTTAGCAGAACTAAAGACATAACAACTGAAACAATGGAGATAACTGCATTGTACAATCAGCCTTTTTCTGTAGTGGATGGCGAGTGGTTTGTTGGCCCATTCACCACTTAGACGAGGTCTCCAAGTTCCGGCCAGCGGCATGTTCATAATCCATTATTAAGTCTGACCTGTAGATCAATCTTTCGTTTTCCACAAATAAAAAAACAATGTAATCATTCCAGTAACCTGTGCCGGCAAGTTCGGCAAGGTTCACCCCTGCAACGTCAGTAGCCTTCCGCTGTCACCAAGCCACCTACAAACCGTCTATTTCCTCAATAAAAAGAAAATATCTGCTCATTCTCTTCTAAACTGTGAGGCACTGTAACTTTCTATGCTGCATTCGAACCTGTTGTGAGTGAATTTAAAATGATAGGTTATATTTTGTTAGATTGATAGATCTAAATGTGTAGTACTTTTTACTTTTGATTCTTAAGCAGTTTTAAAACTAGGTATTTTTTACTTTTACTTGAATAGCATTTTACTGGATGACTTTTACTTGAGTGACATTTTGGTGTGGTATCAGTACCTGTACTTAATTATGAAAGTTAAGTGCTTTTCCAGCAGAGGCCAGAAAATGGCACCCTAGGCAGTCACCTATGACACCTAATGGGTTGACTGGCACTGCCTTCAATCACATACCGCACGATAATTTGGAATTTACACCCATCGCACGCAAGACAGACTGATATTAGTTAAGGTACCTAGCAGACACCTTCTTCAGAACTATCTGGTTAGTAGGAGAATGGATTTGTTTTGGTGATGGCATCCTGAGGTGCGGTTGTGTGCAATTATGTACGTCCAGGTGGGCACTAATGACTCACCGTCCTGTATTTGACAATGTACTCCACGATTGGCATTCCTCCATCATCCTGCTTGACCAAGACGAGTCTGTAGACCTTCCCCACACCCCTCTGTCCATGGACCACAGGAGGACTGGGTTCTCCTAGAGATGCAACACGAGGGGTTAAAATGGAACGAAAGCTGCTTACTGGCTGGATGGTGACAGCTGTGTCAGATGAAACTCTCTCAGCCATTGGACAACCAGGCGCATGTCACTCATCAATTGAAATCGTATCATTGGCCAATGATAATGATGGCCCCTCTGTATGGATGATGGCCCCTCTCATATTCTTACCTTAAAAAAATGCTAGAATGACCATGTCCCTCATCGGATACACCCAACGCACGCACACTTGGCCTGAGTATCACAAGGACTCACGGATGGGCAGTGTTTGGAAGCTCTCCACGTGGCTGAACTCCCCCTGCCCTTTTCCATTCACGGCAGCCACCCGGACCTCATAGGTGCTGTTGGGCTCCAGGTCGGTCAGCTGCACCATTGCTAAAACACAGGACAGGGGTGGGGGGGCGCGAACAGTTAGTATCAGAAGAAAGTGGTTCCCACACACAACGGCTAGCAAGTTGGCAAATGTAGCGAAAGCAAATTCGGTGAGTTTTTTGATGTGACAGGAAAAACCGCTCAATAGCTCTTCAGCTGAGATTTTCTCCACCTAATCTTTAGAGAATTCGATCATGAAAATGTAAATGTTTCCAAAGCAATTACAGCTACAAAATGCAGCTTCCATGCAAATGGCAGCACGATGTATGGCTCTGTTATGCTTCCTTGGTATAAGAGGGCTTGTCTTTATCCACAGATTCACGCATCACACACAGACACTCACACACGCTACCCACACATACGCACATTCCACGGATTTCACAGAACCATCCTCTGAGTGAAATTCTCCGGAACACCGATAGTGCAGATGTGTCTGGATCCAACATCCCCATGGTGTTCCCACAAAACCCGCACAAAGCCAGCCTTAATCTGCGGACTTCAGCAGGCACTTCACACATGCTGTGCGCATAATTGTTTGTACATAATCCCCCCCTCCATTGCCTGCCCTCAGCTCACTGCCATCTTTTTGATGACATCTATCTGCTAATATCACATCTGACAGTCTTCGGTTACACATGGCGAAATGCAGCCTCAGAATCAATGACCTGATCTCATAAAAAAAGGCAGAGCATCCCTCATGCATACAGATGCGAGTTTTATTGAAATGGCTCCTTCGTGCCCTCAGATTCCCTTAATTTCTCAATATGCATGTTGTTCTGTGGGGCACTAATTAAACTTGGCAACTTGTAAAGATGTGTTGTGTTCATAGCAGCCAAGCGTTAACTCTTGGGACAGGAATTCAATATTAAGCAGATAGTTTCGCTCTCTTAGGGGTAAAAGCTGTCCGAGCAAATGTATGTGAGAGTACGTGCATGATGGTATGGCTCTATAGAGTAGGAAAAATTAGATCATCTTTTAGGATATGAGAATGACATGCAGACTTTCACAGGATATACAATTTGTGAAGGTAAGGATATAATATGGGGGGGGGGGGGGGGGGGGGGGGGGGGGGGGTATGTGACGCAGTGCCTGTGATCAGAAGGTTGCTGGTTTAAGTCCCATGCTCAGCAAAGTAGCTACATCTCTGTTGGTGGGCCCTTGAGGATAAATGGCTGCCCCTGTGCTCAGATCCCAATCTTCACTCTTACCTGTATATGTGTGAATGCCTAAAAAAGGATGAGATATGTGAAAAAGACACATTCCAATGTACTGGTTCTTGTCTCAAAATTAGCTGCACTTTGTTAATGTGTTCGCTGTGGTGATAATGCATTGTGGGAAATAAAGTGGATATTTTAGGATAAGAGGAGTATGTAAATGGTAGAATGACTATTGTAAGATTTTTTTTTTTCCCAGGAGAGGGGGACAGTCTGCCCTTAGTGAAGGAGTCTAAGTATCTGGGGACCTTGTTCACAAAGACACAGTATAAGGGAATATGGAATTAATGGTGGATTGGTTCGCTGGTGATGAAGTAGTAGCTAAGTCGATGAAGGTTGTGGTTTACTGGTCAATCTACCTATTGTGGCCAAGAGCTCTGGGTAATAACTGAAAGGACAAGGTCCCAAAGTGCAACTGGCTGAAATGAGGTTTTTCCACAAACTCAGTCTTTGTGACAGGGTGAGAAGTTCAAAGATAAGGAGGAACCTTGAAATAGAGCTGTGGCACCTTTGGACTGAGATGAGCCACTGCAGGTATCTGGGGCTGAACAGGAGACCACCTAAGGCAGCTCTTCTGGACATGTCTCATTAGACAAAGTCCTCAGGGCAGGCCGGGGCCGGGGGAGTACTACAGTATATACCCCAGCTGTCCTGGAAACATCTGGGACCCCCCCCAGAACAAACTAGCGCCTACAACCTGAGGAAGGTGGGTTTATTCTGACCTCTTAGTATCCTACCACAGTGACCCCCAACGGGAAACATGGTGAGACACATATGAAGACAGAGAACATGCTCTCTGTGGTAGACATAGAGTAGGTGGGAAACAGGATGGATATTTTAGCCCATGAGAGCAATATGTAATCTCTGGACATCAGTATGGTATGTTAACAGTAATGTGGCTCTTTATGACATAAGTTCTGTATAATGGTGGTAGTAAGGTCATTTCACTAGGTTAATGAATGCATTAAATCACAACCTGCTTTTGAGATTAATGTATCTATGCTAAGTACATGTAGCCATGTCTAACTACTGTATATGCCACTATATCCCACCATATTCTACTAGTGCTTCCTGTCTAAGTTTGTACTGTTTGTCACTAATATTTGTAACGGCCGCTATACATTTCTGAGCAGCACGCGGAGCACAAAAGGAGCAGCAGACAAATGACTGCGCCATTTACATCTGAATGTATCTTCTGAGGGTAAACATTCTCACATAGTCTGATGCCCCTCTGTTCTCACAAGCTTAATATCTACAAAATATAACAGTCACCTCAAATTGTCAGGCAGCCGTACTTTATCCAGAAGGCTGTGAAAAGAGCCATTCAAACAGTTCATAAATATTCATTATAGACAATTCAGTGCTAATCAGCAATTGCTGCAAAATAGTAAATAGCCTGTTCTTTCATTGTAGGAGTAATTTACATAGCTGTGTGTTCCATTTAGAAGAACACCCAAAAGGACTTTAATTCCAAGTTGAGTTTTGCTGAACCCGAGTGAATGTTTTATATGCTGATAGAAAGGAAACTGCAGAGAAAAAAAAAACTCCTTCTTGGTAATTAAGCAAAATGTGAAATTAATGCAAAGCACTAACGAGGACTAACAACCCCATCTTAATGGCACCTTTAATTAGCTAAACTAACCCCCCCCTCAAAAGTCAGACCTATGAAGTGTGTAAGTAGCTAAAGTGTTTGATACCTGAATTGCTGGCGTAACCTGCTGTCTGTACGCCTTATAGTGGCAAACAAAGGCAGAAGGTGTCAGATACTTTAGTCTGCCACAAGGAGTGCCACTTCACTATCTGCATCACACTGCTGTTTGCTAAACTGTAGGAGCTTCAGGGTAGGAGCCCATTTTCTCTAATTTACTAGCAAATTCTACCCTAAGATAAAAGACTACAGACCGGCGGTGATGGGAGGTACAGGGTTTCAGAAACCCACAGTGGACGGGATTACCCAATGCCATCAATCTCTGTGTGGTTTCATCCAATGGGAGCCAATAAATTGACGAGAAGGGTATTAAAGCAGCCAATGATGGGCAATGCCCATAATCGCACCAATCGGGGGCTTTGAAATGTTGTTCGATCGCTCTGTGTTCCTCTGGGGATGCTGCCATCTCCCACTGTGCCCTATTCTGCTACTCCCTCTTCACATTTAAATGATCTTCACAATTACTGCTATTAGCTACAAGCCTTTTAAGACTGTCAATCTTGCTTAACCTCTGAACGTACTTGTTCCTTAAGCTTCCCTGTTGGGGTTTTAACATCATGCAGGACCTCCCGGGCGCTGTAAAGAATTAATTTAAAATCCCCTTTCCCCTGCAAAAACACCAAGCACCGCTCTTGGCCTAGGCTGGGTTGGGGCCCGGCATACATGAGGAACGATGCGATTGAAGCAGAAAGCGCCCCGCAGAGAACTCTAACGTGTTCCTGGATGACACACTAATCGAGACTCTGGGGACAGTTTTACGTCTGACCGAGTGGTTTGTGACCATATCTGCTTTCCTCGGATGAACTCCCACTGGTGAGAGTAGGACTGACTCAGGTGCTGGTCATCAACTGCACAGATATATGTGGAAAAAACAAACCAGCTCACGGGACAAACACGATCCTGTTATTAGCTTCAGTTTGAAGACCTGGACTTTGTTTCTGGCTGTAGTACTTTCATTCTCTCTCTCTGCTGCAATCGTAACATTGTACTCAAACTCTACACACATTCAGTTTCATTGCCCATTTTCCTAATTGTATTTTGAAATGTTGTTTCTCTTTCTGATCGCTTATGTCCAAGTCTCAATATGTTATTACGTATTTATAATTTGTTTGTTGTGGTTTCTTCCAATGAAACTAACAAGATTGAAATGTCATCTCAGTGAATGACTCATATATCACATAATTGAAGATTACACTAAAGATACCTTGACTTGTGTGACTTCAGAATATATGGACGTGGGAGACTTTTAAAGAAGAGTCATACTAGTCCTATTGCTCATGTGCTTGGGGAGTTTGAGAATTATTTCTATTCAGTTAAGATGTTGCAGATGCGGAGGAGTGAAATAAAAGTAGATTGTAAAAGCTGGGTGCAAAAAAATGGAAATAGGACTGCTAGCTAGCAGATTTGACGTTCTGAGTGCACTCAAGGTTGTGGAAGACCAAGCTCTCAGAGCTAAATTACTCACTGTTTGTTACTATGTCTGGGGAAAACATGGACAGGCTATACAATGGCAAGTCATGTTAGGGTGAGTCTGACCTTATGCCATAGGTTATTCTTATCGCGTCTGTTTCTGTGAAACAGCTGCATCTCGCAGCAGAGCATGCAGGCTGGCCATCACACGATCGAAGCCAGACTGAATTTTAATTTAATCCGACTGGAAGCATCCAGCCATGGAGCTGAGGTGTATGAGGCACGTTGGTGTCTCCCGTGAGATAATAGTAAGATGTTCACCAACGCGTTAAATTCATGACACGGCGCCTTGGCGTTTCTCTATTTGCTGAAGTATCATTTTGTTGGAAACACTTCTCAGAAAATGAAAACCACAGGTGAAACAGTGGTCCACACTGAAATGCTCATTTTAAGTGGTTTCAATCACCAAACCTTCCAGGTTTTTCCACAAAAAAAGGGGGAAAAGCTTTATATTCAACAGGAACCAGTTTAGCTTCATTAGTTTTTTAAAATATGTTTTGCTCTGTGGCAAAACATGCTCTGACCAATAAATTAAAGTTTAAGATATTTTAACCCTTTTGAACAAAACAGTCCAAAATAAACTACAACCATATTTTAGATGTTTATAGTATATATAACTTACATCTGAGCAGGGCAAATAGGCAAGAAAACAAGCCTCCAGTTTATTTTAGTTTAATTTTCTTCTTTCACTCAGTTCAAGTCATTTTTTCTTCTGAAAAATAAAACATATTTACTGTTGTGCCATAGTCTGCAAACTAGGTGGAACTCACTTTCTGAGAACTGGTTGTTCTCAGGGGAAACATACTGTAAGTCGACAACGCCAGGAAACAACGGCAGCTAACAAGTTGTGGCTAGGGCTGGTTGATAAAATGATAATGGTAATTATTGCAATATAATTTTCCCTAATATTTCCACAACAATTGCTTGATAAAAGTTCAATACGATTTCAGCCCAATTTAATGATGTCACATCCTCTGTGACTGCTTGTCAGGACTGTCAACAGAGCACAAGTGCAGACAGAGGTATAAAAACACAAATAGGGAATTTATTCAACTAGTACAGGCAGGCAGATGAAAAACAACAGAGTCAAAACAAGAGGGCAACTCTGCGGGAAGTCCAGAGCAGCCCATCCAATAAGGGCAATCCAACAAAATATAAAACAAAAGTCCACATTTAAATTCAGCCAACGTGAAATCTACACAGTAATAATCCACAGAGAATTCAGGAATGCTAGGAAGAATGCGTGCGGCGGCGTTTTTTGTCTGTACTGACTAAAATAACCTGGCCTGCTGCCAATCACAGTGTTCTGAGAATGGACAACCTATGCACAACAAATGCACAGCGAGGTTTATTGGGTTAGTGGAGCGCCCCACGTTCTACTGTTCTGGCAATACACATGAGTCATGGGAGAGAGGACCGAAACTTCGGTGTCGGTGTCAGCAGAAACAAACACCTTTTTAAAAAGGAGATATTGTGAATAAACCAGGCAAAAAAGATCTTGGTGGTGTGACAGTACTTTGGCAATGTAAAGAAACCTGCGATATGCGACAGGCTGGTGCTGTAATCTCTACCGAAACCTTGTGCCAGCTAAAACTGGATATGCTACAAATTTATTTCACCACTCAAACTATTGCCATCCAGCAGAATATACAGAATGCAAGTGCTTAGAGTCACAGACACCAGCAATTAGTGTTGCGACTTTCAGTTACATCCTGTATTGGTTCAAAACAGGACCCAGCATTTTATTTATCAATAGCAGGCGGTTAAGGAGCAGCGAGGCAGTCAGAGATAAAAACCCAGCGGTAAACCGTACTGTTGCCGTATTACTAACGTTACGTCCTACGACAAAAAAATATTATGTATGATTTAATTATTAAAATTTGATTTCAGTTTGCAATCCATTTGATTTGTCATATTTTAAATGATAAAGGGGATCCTAAGGGAATTTTAAGCATAAATGGAGCCTCAAGGAAATAATGATGAATGAATCATACTGCGATAATAATCAATATCGACTGATATTAAGAGATTATCGTGATAAAATGTTTCGGCATATCATGCAGCCCCACTTGTGGCTATATTAACAGCCAGCTACTGGTACTTACTGCACTCACCTGTTTTCGCCTCAAGCTCAAGCTCTTTGTGAAAAAAGCAGGATGACTCGTTTTGCTCGGCTACTTTGATCAGTCGACCTGTTTTTTTCTGAGCTCCCTTGCTGTTTCATGGTGTTCCCTCTGTATCTGGCTCCTGCACCCCTGAGTGGGGAAATTCCTGCCTATCAGAGGCCGAGCTCCCATTGATGCTAAATAGCCTGGTCCCCCATCTGGGGAAGGTGTCTGTCACAGGCAGGAAAGCTGGCTTTCTCGGCAGGTGCTGCCCCGACCTTAGAGGCGTGTTAATTAGCTTTTGTTTGTGCTGGTTACTTTCCCTGTTTTGTAGTTAATAAAGTGCTTAGAATTGACAGGCACAACTAACGAATCCCTCTGTCTGACTTGGTGTAACATTCAGTTTATGTCTCTATATATGTGCACATATGACAGCTATGCTATATGAAAATTGCATTAGATTGCAAAGCACCATGAAGGTGTCATGTCACCCATTAGCAGTTAAATCCACAGAATACCCACCGGGGAGCAGTATGTTGCTCGCTTCATTGCCTAAGCACTGTAAATTCCATGTGCCTCCTGGGCAACCACAGTAACGTCAACACTCTCTCTTTTAGAGGTGAATCCAGACGGCACCCTCTAGTGGCTGGAGGTCACCTGCCTCATTATGCACGCGGTTCATCTCTAAGGGTGTTGGGAACTTAATGGGGATGCTAGCACTCAGTGACAGGGCTCAGTGTTTCGGAAAGGGAAGATTATGGCTGGTAGAAGCCTACAGTATGTAAGAGTATTGATGACAATCAGGCCTGGCTATCATTTGATGATTAACAAGACAGTGGGCATCTTAATTAAGGATGGGTCACCAAATGGGGAAACGTCAAAAATCATTGTTAGCCGTAATGATAATGTCGTATCACTAGACACAGACGAAGCTGGCAAACGTGTCCTCGTGTTTCACATGCGCCCTTGATCGAGCTGAGCAGATGTAAGGGATTCATGAGGCGCCGGATGGATAATTGAGACGCCCGCTACCGTGGCCCTGGCAGATGTCTTACGGCGGGGGCGGAGACTCACTCTGCACGCCGTGCGACTTCACGTCCTTCCAGTCCTGCAGGCCGACGTCCCTGTACTGCACCAGGTAGTGGCTGATCGGCACGCCGCCGTGTGAGTCTGGCTTCACGAAGGTTACCGTGGCGATGCGCTGGGCCACCGAGCTGAGCCGCACCGAGTGCGGGTTCGAGGGCACGTCTGAAAGCAAAAGGGTGCACAGTTATGTCTCTGTGAGGCCGCAGCTCGGGTTAAGCTCCCGCAATTAACACTTGGTGATCGCTGGTTCGAGGCCCAACAGGGACCTCTCTGTTACACTCCAGTGAAGTGCTTAAACGAACCCCTCACAGCAAAATATCCAGCTCTGTTAACAAGTGATGGATATTAATATCTTCAACTACGTTTCGGTAAGGGAAAAATTTTTTTTACTTTTTTTGGTGTTTTTATTCAATTATGTATTTGAAGTGTGCTGGGTGTATGCATCAGCAGTGCATACAGTTACCAACTGTAAAAGGGTACTGGTGTCATTTCTGGACTATAGTGGAGACTAGAGACTAGAATGCAGACTTATTTATAACACATTGTTAGGAGACAGTTGGCAGCCTTATAGCCAAATCCATGGCATTCAGTTTTACCCACCAATCTCCCTGTTCTTTACCTTTACCCATCTCTGTCTCCCGCACCTACACAAATGCAATCGTGTACACTCTCTCTCTCTCTCTCTCTCTGTCGCTAGACATCCTGTTGTATTTATCAGCTTCCCGCCAAACTCCCTTATTGCGCAGACGCCTGCTGTTTGCGCAGTGCTGACTCTCTGGGGTCCCGCGATGGAGAGAGGGCCATTCCCCGCCTGACAGACGCTCTCCTTCAAAGTGGGAGGCGGCCTCGGTCGCCATCTTGCTCTCGCGAACAAAGAGGGGCAGCCGCGCCCACATTTCTCGCACACCGTAATTTGAGTAATAAATTCAGCACCTACATCGGTTCTTCTATTCCTCGCAGCCACAGGTAACATTTCTGCTGTAGTACACAGCGGAAGGTGGGGAGGGAATGCTATTAGAACCTCCGAGGGAATTAAGTCTTGCCCCCCCCTCCCCCAATTTCATAGGGTCTGTCAGGACGCCGTTCATTGTGCGTTCTCTACCAGCATTCCATATCTTCCTTTCCAAATCCCTCCATACAGATCTGTAATCACAGACTTTTGGCTCTTTATATTTCAGAACATACTCTGTAGTTCAGTTTGTACTTTAGGAAGAAAAAAAAAAAAAAACTTAAAAAAACACCATGCAGCCGTGGGATTTCTCTTTCTAAGAACTGTCATTGTACAGCATTTAAGTGCTTTTTGAATGCACTTCCTTATTTATAATGGGGGTTTTTAGATAATACGGCTTGTTCTTGAAGCACACATTGAAGCTCATATAAAAACCTTCCCCGTTGTTTATCTCTCTTATGCTAAGTGGATCCTGTTTTCTCAGGTCCACATTCTTGAAACAATTGGGGGAAAATAATTTAAAAACCAGGAATTTTCAATGAAAGCTTCATTCTCTTTCAACATGGGGTTGGACGTGTCCAGATGTGGAATAAAAGCGTTCAAAGACGAAAACGTATGCAGCTTAGGGACAGCCTCGTAACCGCCTGGTTGTTAGTTCGAGGCCTGAGGAGGGGACCTTGCTACAATGTTGAGTTACAGTAGGCCTATGTAGAATTTACATTCTCCAGGAAGAGCAACAATTAAAAGTTGTTCTGGAAAAAAAGTTATCAGCTCAGCAGGACTAAGTTTTAATTCAGAATGTTATTTTTTCTCACACTTCTATCAACTTACAGTAGAGTTACAATTTGTTTTGTTTTTTGGGATTTGAACCCACAATCTCTGTATTTGTAGCACAATGCTTAAGATGATAATATAAGATAAGATAAGATAAGATAAGATTGACTTTATTAATCCCACAATGGGCACAGAGTGGGAGTGCCGTGAGCCCCCTATCACCGTTTTGACAAATGGAATCAGCGGCCTGGCTTTAAGTGCCTACATGCACCAGTGAGGCTGGAAGGGTCTCTAGACCCAGTCTGGTGTTACCCCTGAGTCTGTAAGCGACTCTGGCTGATGGGCGGGAGATAAAGACACAGCATGAAAACTACAGCGGCAGTCATTCCCTGGATATACATGGCATTCTCCATTTACACATTATTTTCTTATCGGGACGGTATCTCCTGGCTGGAAGTGGCCAGCCGCCCCCTGCTTCACTACGGCTCTGCCGTTAGCCTTCGCCGCTGTCCTCTGCCCTGTGATTGATGCCAAGGGTCGGACAGCGGTCTAGCCCCACTGAACTCAATCAGCGGGAGTCATGTGGACACTCATCGGGCTTTTCCTGACGGAGATGAGATTTCCCTTGTGGAGACGCGTTGGATAAACTCTGGGTGTTTTACGAAGCAATAGTGATGGGATTTGGGCAGAGGAAACCAAAAAACCAATTACTTTCTTAAGCCACGTATGTCATATTCTCATATCTAATGTTTTATCGGTCATTATCTTAAGGTCAACCCAGGACAATAATCATTATCTCTCCCGGAAAACCTCCACAGGTCATGACAATAATGAATTGTTCATGTGGAGAGAGAGTAAATGTGTGTCCATAGATGAACGTGGGTGTTCCATGTGTGAATCATGTGCATCACCACATGCTCATGGCAGAAAGCCCCACCAGCCCTCAAATCCCCCCCCCCCACCTCCGTGGTTAAAGAAGAATACAGGGGCAGATATGCTGTCTTTGAACCTGGGGTGAGGGGTGGGTGGGTGACCTACAGGTCATTCCTCATCCCCAGCCCCAAGAGTTCATCTTGGGTTAGCAAACGTGATGCACAATTAGTCCTGAACATGAGAATTGCCTGAACTGGAGGTGAGAACCGAGCCAAGCTTGGGGAGGTTGGTGTGGCAGAACCTGAAAGGCAGATTAATAACTCAAAAAGGCTGCATACCTGCTCTCCCAGTTTTAATGTAGCGGCACTTTGATTTCTCCTGTCCTGGGGGGAAATGCGGAGTCCCCCTTTCCCGATACAGTACTGAAGATGACTTAATGTGGTGAAATTTAACTGCATTTGCCATCTAGTGATCGAGAGATCACAGCGGCAGGTGTAAACACAAGAATGCCTCATCACTCAGAGGTATTTGTGAGTCATTTGGATTATCATAAATATTGTATTATTTCTGATGAAATGCTGGAATCCCATATGATTAATAAACCCGCAGCGACAATGGAGTTGCTCGTAATTTCGTCAGAACGTAATATTTAAACCGTGAGGGCAAAATCACCACCCCATGTATTAATTCCAGTACGAATCTTTTTACTTTCTTTGCAGATATAATGAGAGAGATTATAGCCTAACCATAAAACATTCAAAGGTAGTAGTAAATGCTGCCTTATTTCAATTTAATAATGGACAGGGAAACAAATGACACAAATTAAAAAAAGGTTGTTCCTGGCATTGACTTTGTTTCTGTGATAGAGGTGACTTCAGAATAAAAGAAAACCAAAGGAATTTTCAAATATATTTACGGGTCTGTATTAATATTATAAATAGGGCAGTGACAGTGGAATGTTTACGCTATAACCTACAGCAGTACACTTAGCAAAACCCTACAAATCTTCTAAATTGGTGTGCAGTGTAGTGATTGAGGGTATGCTACATTAAATTAGTCTGCGCCGCAAAAATATAGCGCTCATTATAATTAATTAATCTGACCTATGGAAAATTGTTTCATGCTGCAGTGAATTGGCTTAGGGTATATTAAATTAGTTTGGCTGGGGAGAAAGTAGCATAGATATTGTGCATTCTGACGGGGCTGCTGAAAATTGGCCTGAACAGGAAATCTGCAATGATGTGGATTGGTGAGAAGAGCCGTCGGTGTCCTTGAATACTGAGAGCAAACATGACCTTTTCTGTGCTAATAGGCTACGAAGCATGAGCGACGCAGCTGTGATAATTATTATTATTATCGCTATTTTCAAAAACGGTTGCATGGAGGGGTGTTTCTGTTTACTGGGAAATGCACTACCAGATGGTTCCATTTGGGGGAGCACTTCCACACATCCTGACTCACCTGCCTGGGCCAAGATGAACTCCTGGAACCTCATTCCGATGTTGTTTCTGGCAGTGCAGTTGTACTTCCCGAAATCCCTGTCTGACATCGGCGTGACCTTACGCCAGAGGAGAGGTCAAAGATGACTGATGTGAGACGAAATCCTTGGTTAAAACAGTCCGACAACTAGCAGATGGCTGCAAATTTGGAGCGTTTTTTTTCTTTTTTCTTACATAACCTTATCTGCCGGGTGAAGTAACAGCGTATGGGGAAATATGGTTCTGCGTGATTCATGGGAGTCAGCAGCCATTTTTCTTGACATGGCTGGCATTTAAAAATACAGGATATGTGCTTGTAGTGTCTCAGGGAGCCTCGCGGAGGGAAGAAGAGCAGATGCCAGATACTCATCTCACATTTGTACATCTCAGATGCTACATCCCAACAAGCATTTTAATTGGAGCGGCTCAGGGTGAGACATCGGTGTGGGCGGGTGGTGGAAGAATAGGGGCGGAGCTCGAATGTGCATACCTCCAGAACCGACCTCCCCTCCTCATTGTAGACTCGCGCGTTTCCGGATCCCTCTGTGGAAATGGTCAGCTTGTCGCGCCTCCAGAGCATGGTGGCGGGGGGATTGGCCATCACGTCGCAGCTGATGTTCACTGGGTTTCCCTCCCATGAGTAATATATCGTGTGATTGGACTGGAACTTTGGTGCATCTATGGGGGGGACACAAGATCCTAAAAAATAGGCAAGGGGCTGTGAACTCGCACTGGCTGTTTAATCAGAAACTGAACGGGGAAAACCTTTGAAGTTCAAGCCACAGGTCTTGATGTTTACCTCACCCACCCAAAGATGGCAACTTTTTCCAAGTTTCGAAGATCCTATTACAAATGGCCTTTTTTTTTATATAATTATACCCCTACATCCTGGAATGGGAATAATGTTAAACAAGAGCAAAAATACCAAAATGTATTTGATCTGTGTTCATTTTTTATTATGTAATTTTTTTCTTGTATTAATATTTGGATGTCGGTCTTGTTCGGAACCCCCCCGCTCTGTGGGATGCGGTGGTACTGGCCGTGAGAAGGCCCAACTCACACTCAATATCCAGGTACATGCTCTTCTGGTGGCCCCCGATCCTGCTGAGGGCCTCGCAGTCGAAGCGGCCCCAGTCGGAGAGGTGGACCCCGGTGATAGTCAGCGTGGACTTGCCCCGATGCCCGTGCACCTCAACACGTCCATCTTTGCTCTGTGTGAGTTACGGGGGGCATGAGGCCGGCTGGTCATTACGCTGGACCGGATCAAGATTCAGGATCCTTCATTTGGTTTATGTACATCGGTACACAGGAATTCATACTCGTAGCATCCAATCAGTAACATGTGACAGGATTAGACAGCACAAATCAAGGGCACTTACCAAACATCAAAGTCGACATATATCAATGAGCTTCAGAGTTATATACAGTATTTATGAAATAAATAGAAGAAATGGCTGATTAAAGTATAAATATATAAAATGCATTTAAGATAAAATAAATGACAGAAACAGAAGATATGGCACAGTAATTAGAAATATATAAAATAAGAGAAGTAAATGTGCAGTGTCGCCTTCTGGAGGTTTGAGTATCATGACTCTGTCCAGTAAAGTGTACGGAGTATATTTGGAGGTTGGAGTATCATTGCTCTGTATTGAGTAGCTGGATTACAGAGGGTAGACACTGTTCTGATGCGTTGTATGTGTTCCACAGCCCTTTGCAGTGATCTCCTCTCCTGTACTGTGGTGTTTCCCTACCAGGCTGTGATCACTGTCTCCTGGCTGCAGCTGACCTTTTATAACAGCTGGATACATTCTGTACAATTGCAGTTCGACTCGACTGACACTGTGAGTCTTTAAATAAGGCTTGATATTGAATTCTTTCCCCGTTCCTCAGTTTAAAGTTCATTGACTGGTTAAAATGAGAGCCGCATAAGGTGTCTATAGATAAATGTGTGTCCATAAATGGACAGGAAATGGTCTTTGTTTTGAATTAGGTTGAACCTATGTCCAGTTCAGAGGTTTCTTTCTGCTGTACTCATGAGATTAAAATATCAGTCGGTCCATTTAATGACGATATATATCCATATACAACTCAAGTCAATAAAAAGTAAAAATAAACCTTTATTCCATTTTTACAAGACCATTTAAGCATTTATTTCTGAGTTTAAAATCAGGTGTGAATTATTTATTTTCATTGTACGCGAAAACCTCCTGATTCATAATTATAATTATTGTTTATTTTATATAATCTAATCTTTTTTGCTTCCACAATTTGATTTTCTTAGATGATGCACGATTGCTAAACAGCAAAACTGCAGGAAATGAGTGTCAGCAAAAGTCACGATCCTGACTACCTGTCCCCATGAGGAAAAATGCTCATGATTTGTCTATATTTCCTCCGCATCTCTGCTCTAATGCTTTTGCGAGGCACAGATCACGTGGGTGACAAAGTGGGGACGCGGTGATTGGAGAGATCTTAGGTCGGGATGATTTCCGCCGCTCTGGGTGAGAAACGTCGGGAATGCAAATAAATGCCAGTGCGCTCTAAGCTCCTCCCCCCTCCAGCAGTCTGCCCTGTCGAGGGGCAGATGTTACCGCAGAAGCGGGCAGCTTGTCTGATATTAATTGAGCCAATCAGCGATAAGAGGATAACGACTCGTGGGAGTGACTCTCTGCCTTTGGATCACAGACGGATCCAGCACAAATGTGTTCCAATCTGCGGGAAACGCCATTAACAGGAATGCCAATCTCAGAGCCACTTTTTTATTAAGTGAATTGTTTATTCAGCATACCAAACCGAGGGGATGCAAGCGAGAGCCTTCTGAGAAACCAAGCAGGTGCACTCATCCTTCTCCTCCTCGTAATTTCTTCAATGTCTCTCTCTTTGTACTTCCTACAATGCACTGAAATTACATAATACGTTCTGGGTCCTTACAGGTCCTCTCTTCGGATGGGATTTATTTAGTACATTATTCCCAAACATGAAATACATTCTCTTGTTTTGGGATAAACCAGCAGTCATAAAAAAATGCATATAAATAAAAAAAATCACTCCACCATAGCTGTTGGCCTTGGGTATCTCAGACAAAACATCAGAAAGCTTTGCAGGTACATTAAGTGCTTTGAGCTCTGGAGAGCACAGAGGAACTGGCCTGCCTAGTTAGCCAGGTAATGAACAGCATTCTGTTAATATTTCTGTGGCTCCACGACAATGGGACAGTGTGTTTGTGTTTCTGATCCTCAATAAGTTCTTTTGAAAAAGGAAAATCATAAAGCATTTCTCAGCCAGTAGTTTTTAAGATTATTAATAATTTTCCTATGGACATATTGACAAAAACATTGAAGACTAGTCTACAGTAGGAAATATATTCAGAAATACTGCACAGTACTACACAGAGGGGGGAGACAAAATCAGGTGTCTGATTTAGTTTTCCTTGGCAGGATCAATGAAAGAAATGTGTGTTTTTTTAAGTTGTTTTTTTGGTTTGACAGGCCATGGTGAGAGAGACCCCCCGCTTCCACATCCACACTAATCTCACTTTGTGGATGTCTTTGTTTATGACCATTTCTGACAGCAGTGTCATGCAGAGTGTCTGGTGCTGTCACTACAGCCTTGTCTGTGTGCACGCATTTTGGTGGAAGGGGGTGACTCGGGCCACGGTCACAGTGACACAATTTTAATTGTGCGACGCAGGTGACCTTTCTGTAGCCGACAGATCCAAAACAAGAGGAGTGCTAATTAACTCCACTCTTTAATTTATCTACGAGCGCCGATGCCAGCCGGCTTGGATTTATTTTCGGTCGGGCATCTGACTGGGCGACTCTCACAGACTGACCTCATTATTTCGTGGGAATTTAGGCATTATAATGACTCGCCAAGATGCCACTGGTCCATCTCACCTTGTTTCGTCGTCAGGTTCCTCATCAAGCTGCACTACATTTGATGTTGCTTAACAACCAACCTTTTTAAAAATTTCGATGGACCTTTCAGGCACACGCTGGGCTACATATATTTGTAATTTTTTTCTTTTTGGATGTCTGCTCGACCGGGCCATTTGCTGTCCGTCATAACACGTACGTTTATTTAGATTTAATTCACTACAAAGGCGACAGGAAGACCCTTAATCAAAAACAAAGACCAAAAAACAAGGGGACAGCTTCATAGCACTATAGCAGTAGAGGTCTGTATCATCTACCAAAAAAGGTCCTGTCACCGATTTGCTTGAATAAATCTCTTTTCAAAGTGCACAGCACTTACACGGGAGGTTCTAATAATCTTCCAGAACAGATTAAACCAGCCATGCATCCATTTTTCAGCATTTATAAAATTATGTTGGATAATTTGAGGAACATCGTGGGAAAGACCGTGTGATATGTAACAGAAATACTGCCCAACTTAATATAATATCTCTAACATGGGCAGGGCTGTTATTCTGTAAGACTCAGTATGTCATAATTGTCTCCACGGCGACATGGCGGGGGTACCTTGAAACCGTCCACGAAGCTCTCGCCATCGCTGGCCCTCCTCCAGGAGATGCCGGGCGTCGGCTCACCCTCCGCTGTGCAGGAGATCATGGCAGCACTGCCCTCAACGGCTGAGATGTTCTGGAGCTCGGTGATGTGGGGCTGGACTGAGGAACACCATGGGGGGGGGAGCAGAGAGAGAGAGAGGGTGGGCTTGTGGTCACCATCTACTAAAGCAGTGTTTCTCATCCCGGTCCTCAGGGACACACCAGACAGTCTACATTGTCGGTCCTTCCCAGCTCTGTCTGGCAGGGAGTTGGGAGGGAGCGAATAAGGTGCCTGACTATCAGGGGGGGGGGTCCCTGAGGGCTGGATTGAGAGGCTGAATGGAATATAATCAGGTCTGCACCCATTCAAAGTGCTGTGCCTATCCAGAATATAACAAAATATTTAAATTGCCTCTGATCAGTGAGGCACTGGGTATGCTGCCCTCCCCGACACAAACAAACACACGTATGCACAATTGTGTACATGAACCTGCTCACTAGCACAAACTTCTCTGTCTGATGCACTATATTCTGGTACATAGGACTGGCCAGTGATCTGCATCTTACTTATCCCTTCCTTTACAATTCTCTGTGATATATATATATATATATATACATACACACATTACATATTATTAATATTATTATTATTATGTTACTCATATCCTTAGCCCGACATCCGCATATGTGTTTAAAAAGTGTGTTTTAATAAGTTTACATGTGTTTAAAGCATGTGGGAGGGGTATTTTAAGGCTTAAACTATTAAAAAATGTGTATTTATATGGTCTTTCTCTATCGCGGATTTTCACCTATCGCCGATAGGTCTGGAACGCGACTTCCGCGATAGGCGGGAGATCACTGTAAACTGCTGAAGAAGCTTGTAATACTGATTCCTGCCAGAGGGGGCGACGCAGGGCGTCAGTCTGGTATTAACCGGAGGGGATGCGGACAGTGGAGAGCTGTGAGTTTTTACAGTCGGGCCGATAGAGACGCACGTGTGAAATCCGAGGTGGGTGAGCGCCCCGGGTCAGTGTCTGCCACGTGTTAGCAGTGCGGGACGCGGGCAGGGGGGCGTCTGTGAGAGGGGAAGGAGGCCGCGCACTCAGCAGGCTCCCGACAGTAACCGATTGCCCCAAATTCCAACCATTTTCTGTATGGGAAATATCTGATTGCGTCTATTACAAGGGCAACGCATACGAATCCTCCCCGTCCACCAAAACAAAACACTCGTTTCACCTGTTCGATGTTTGTAATTCTGTTTTAAATCAGTTTAAATATCAAGCTGGTCTAATTTATCATCTGTAGCCACCAGCGATCCAGCCTTGCGTGTCTAGAACGTTCTTTTTCCTTCACCCGCAGTTTTCTGTCTGTCGTTTGAAGTTGGAAGGCAGAGCAGTGATGCTGGAGTTCATAAACCTCAGCGGGAGGCTTCGCGATACTGCCACTGTACGCTGGCTCGTTATGTCCGCCCCCTTGCTTCCATCTTGCAGGCTTTGGCAGCCGGAGCCTGTTCCACTCCTGACCCCGTGCAGTGTTGCAAAGCCCCAACCCATACGCTGCCGTTTCGTTAGAGATACTAAGATCATTCAGTCAATAAATATACTTTCCCTATTCCTCTGAAGGAAAATTAGTATAAAATTAAATGTGCAAATGTCACATCACATTATTCCAGTTTTGGGATGGTGGGTGGAATTCAAACCCACAACCCTAGAGGCATGAGATCTGGCAGCAGCCTGTTTGAATATTCAGAACTGCGCTCTCACTCTGGCCTAGAACCTTCCCTTCTGAAAACTGTTGGCCAAAAGGTATGTGACTCCCTGGAATGGGATTAAATCCACTGGACAGGGGTGGGGTCACAGGGACACTGGCCCCAGCTGAAAGCTGATTGGCCCCTGGAGGGCCCCCTCCCCTGTCACTCACAGATTCAGAACCTATCATTGCCTTATGATTAGATACGCCCCTCTGTATGAATTATGGCGCCTCTTACGCCCCCCACCTTAAAAAAGAACCCCATCCTGCTGCCCTTGCCAGCAGAGGGGACGTTTAGTGCCCTTTTAGGGTGTCAGCGTAACTCCCCTTTGAAGCTGAGAGCTCCAAATGAGCAGTGGGTAGAGAGGGACCAGGGCGCTAATGTTACCCTAGCGTTTGTATCCTAGCGATAAGCCCCTCTCCGCAGTTGCCCCCCAGTGACTCCAGAGTGCCGCTCACATATCAAGGGCAAACAGCACTTATTATGAATAATGAATTGTATCTTTTTTTTTTCTCCCGTCTTCAACCACATAACTAAAGGAGAAAGGCATACATGAATAAAGAATTATAACCAAAAACAGTTTCTACTCCAAAGACGTCTGCTCACAACAAAACACCAAAATGCCACTTGGTGATGCAAAGACTTGAAATAAATTCCTGTGAACAGCCTTCCCTGGGTCATTAAAATGGACACAGAAAAACACAAAAGCAAACAAAACAGATGTGGACTAGAAATCCACCTATTTGTTTACTTTGTCGATTAAATGTGACACATGTCAATATTTTCACCTAAATAAGAGTCTTTGTTTCATTTTGGCAGACCCATAGATTTCTGACATGTAAAAATGACTCTTGAGTTAGCGTCAGGCTTGGCTATCTATACCTAAAGGTTTTATTTTACCGTAAATGTTACCACTGATGCCACTTAAATGAGAGGAAGCTCATTTCAGTATGGGCTCATATCTAGTATAATTAGTGTCCACTTATGTGATCATCAGCACATTATACATATGCATATGCAGTCATAAAGACAACACAGTTATGGTTTAAAAGGCTGTGGGGGGACTGTTCACCATCACCTCCAACAAGAGGGGCTGTAGCTTTCTGGTACTTTCCGGACCCTGAAATCCTCCCAAAGCTTTTTGAAGGACCATGCTGTTCTGATTCATGCACCAGCAAGCAGCGTGTGATGCGGGTCACACTGTGGGCAGGGCGCCAGCCCATCATGGGGCATCCTGAGAAACTCGTTTGAACGTAGCATGTGGAAACCAAATGAAAAAAAATATTGCCTGAGGATTTACGTGAGAGAGGAGCTCAGGAAAACAGGGTGAAAATACAGCTCTGGAAAAAATGAAGAGACCATAGCAAAATTTTCAGTTTCACTCATTTCTCAGTTCATGGGTATGCGTCTGTGTGAAATATACATTTTATTTTTGCAAACTCCAGCCTGGCTTTTCCCAGTTGCTCACTAGAGAAGGGTCTTCAGTCCTGCTTCTAGGAGCCTGTTATGAATTGTCCTAACAGTGCACTTCACACCACTTTTCTTTCCCATTTTTTTTGAAGGTCACTTGAGGTCATCCTCTGATTTATGAGGCACTGCCACATAAGATGATGTCATCTCTGTCAGTGGATAGATGCTTCTGACCTCTACCTGGCTGGATTTTGGTCATTCCCAGTGTCTCCTGTTTCACATTGTTCTTGTGTTCTTCTGTCTTAGAAGCCTGGAAGCAGCCTGCTGCGCAGTGTAACCCTCTGCCAGCATAACCAGGATTAAACCAGGAATTACAAACGCAGATTTTGAAACTATATAGAGTGGTCTCTTAATTTCTTCCAGAGCTGCGTGATCCGTTATGATGCCTGACACATTCCAGTGCTTTTACACAGCAGCTGGAGTTAGACTGGGGGGCTTATTGGTTATTTATGCCACTCTTTATTAATTTTTTAATCGATGTGGGAGGAAAAGCTGTCATTCATTTAACGCAGCTGTTGCTTTAAAATAAGTGGGCCTGCTTTGTTGCGTTTGAGATGAGAGACGGCTCGCGTGCGGAGTTTCGAGGCCGCTGGTACGCGCCTGCGTGCGTGGGTGACTTTAATGAGCAAGTCTGATCCTTCTAATGGCTTTAAAACCCACTGTTGTTGTTTGCCTTTGTTTCAGATTTGCATCTTTTTTAAAACTTGTAACGACTCGATAGCATCTTAATTTCTCACTTGACGCACTTTGCTGGTAACAGATGTCGCGCAGCACTAATGAGGACGGCGGAGCTCCTGGCCCGGAACGGAGAGAAGGTAGAGGTCAGGAGCTGGATCCCTGAACATCTTAGTGCCTAAGCTGCCATGTGACAGGCAGAGGGTGACAAGATGGAAGCGGAATAGGGTGTGAGTTTCTCACTCCGGTCCCGGAGGAACCCCAGCCAGTCCACATTTTTGCTCCCTCCTTTTTACAGGTATTTGGTATTCTTGATTGGCTGGGAGCTGGGAGGGAGCACAATGTGGACTATCTGGCGGTTCCCGAGAGCTGGGTTCTGAAACACTGCTAACACTGGTTATTGAGTAGAGCAGGGGAGAGAGAGGGAGAAAGAGAGAGAGAGAGGTGAAAGCTAACTAGTCTTCTTGTTGTCCTTGGGCCTATGGTCATATATATGACCCTAAACCTTCAATAGTCTCAAAAGAATGATTCCATCTTGAAGCAGATGGGGTGAACAGCATATAAAATGTGGCCATAAATGGGGAGGTGGGGGGGGGAGTCAGGAGTTTGCTCCTCGGAGGAGGGACTTAAATTCAGATGAGGACAATCTGGTGGACATGGCAATCTGTTTAATGTTCCCTGAGTCGAAGCACTACTGCGGCAACTTTTTAGGAGCTAATTCTTTTGTGGATGGGTAGTGACTGTGGGAAGGGGGGGTTTAAATCTTAGTGGGGGCTGCCAACCAAAATATGGCGGGATGGGAGTCATAAAACCGCAGGTTTCTAAATCCAGGGGAGATACTTGTCGCGTGCCCCCGAGTGGATGAACCTATATCGATCTGCTACCCCTCCCCCCAGCCATCAGAGTGGATAAATCTGAGATCCCCCCCCAGTCATTTGAAATGCATAATTAACGACCCCAGCTTGGCAGAACGTGGTCAAGAGATACTCTGGAGGAGTTATGGGAGCAGCCCGTGAATGTGGATCCAATGCTCGCAAATAAACGTTTACGATTCTCCTGCTACTGAAATGTGGAAGCCTCTGTCCTTTGATACCGTGAAGCTTCGGTTACCACTACGTTTCCCAGCAAGCACCGTAAAACAAAAACCAGCTGCCTGACAACTTATTAATTTAAATGTACGTTTACGCAGCGGGCTGGGGCTTGCACTTTGCGGGGATTTTGATGACTGCTGAATAAATCTCCATACATTTACATGAAAATGCGAGGTGCAATCTAAATTATCTACAAAGAAGCCAGTGTTTTATGAAAGAATATAATGTAGTTCTTCCCAATAAATAATGTGTCATGCACTATTTGAATAATTTAGTTTTCTGTTGTTTGTTTATCAGTTGAAGCCTCACACCTCACCACCTGCCTGAGTGAGGAGGTATTAAACTATGAATGGAGATTCTCATCCCAGCTTATCTCTGTTATTGAAAACCCTTGCTAATGGTCTGTATTCCTTTCCCAGTTCCTCATACCTCTCCATACACATTTCTTAAACTACCTTCTGCACATGCAACTCTTTTTTTGTATATCGGTGGAATAGGGGCATTTTTGAGATGGCTGAGCTCTTTCGAACTCCGTTGATGAAGAGGAGCTTTGACCAACAAGCGGGTAAGAGGATCACGACCTAGCTGGGCCCTGAGGCAAATGCAATCTGCAGTAGAGCTGCTACTGCAAGATGTTTGTCTGCTTGAGTGGGCTTCATTTGGACACAGAACCTCACAGATAACTCCTACTGTAGTTTGAACTTTGCCGAAAAACAGGTTCATTTACAGTGGCCCTCCCTTCGTACCCGCATACAGCCAGGATGGCATATGGCTTGGCAGGTTACAATGCTATAACTGCGAACAGAAGGTTGCTGGTTTGAATCCCAGCACTGACAGAGTGATATTGTGTTGGGCCCTTGAGGGAGGCCCTTCACACTCGCCCCCCACCCCCAATTGCTCCAAGGACTAGCTCCAATCTGGATACAAGCAGCCAGCAAACAAATTAAATGTAATACAGCCATATATTTTGGTCAAGCCCTACAGATTTCTCAAAGGCAGAGGTGAACCTACAGCTTTACTTGAGCTAATCTTGCCCTTTGAAGTACTTTCCAGCTCAGCGCAGGCCTGCCGGATCAAAATGCTTCTCAGAGTTGACGGCAAGCTGAGGTAGAGGACAAGATGCACCGACCTGCGGATTCAAAGAGCCCATAGGAGTCTGTGACCTTCACCACAGGTCACTGTGGACACTTTCCTGTTTTGTGTAATACCTGTGACCTACATAAATTTACAGTATAGAACACAAAAACTAATGTGTCACACCGCATTTCAATCCTCAATCCCATAATCCTTTTCTTAGACTGAGAGCTGGGAGTTGCCTAACAGACATTTTATATTGCTTGTGCGTATTGCAAAATGAGCTAAAATGAGCAAGTGTTACAAACCTTTCTCTAAAAACTAGGTTGGACGCTGATTCAATTGCCTCTCATTACTAGGGGTTTTGGCTACAATTCCTGCCCCTGATTTTGAATGTTTGCACATCATCGCACCATCCAATCAGAATGATGCATCATCAATCCCAGTTACAGGGCAGCTTGTTCAAACCTGGTATCTGAATCATGAAGCAAGGTGTTTTTGGTTAGTTAGATAACTTGTTGGATTTAAGATTTGCATTTAACTCAAAAATCCAGCTTTGTAATACAGGCCCCAGACCTGCTTTTTTCAGGGCACCTAGGCAAAGCTTTACTTGGGAGGCCCCTTACCAGGAAAATCCATGATCATTTCACTTGCCCTGCAATGCAGGTAATTCAGGGGCCCCAGGCAGCTGCCTATTCTGCATATAGCTAGAGCCGGCCTGCTTGCACATTTTGATTTGACATATATGGTTATATTTGTATATAATTATTTTTCAGTTAGTGTAATTATTCTTATTTATAAACTGGCTCACGTTTACCTGGCACTAATTGAAATATTTAACAGCTTTCCTGCAGGGTGTGTGCACCGTGTCCTGCAGCTGTACCTCCGTGCCCCCAGTCAGTCCCAGACATTGCTGCGCCAAACCAGTGCCAGACAGTGGGCCAGAACCACACGATGACTCATCCAGCCACCGCCGCCGGCCGAATGGATCGTTTTGTCCTTTGAAAGAGGGCCTGTGAGATGTGCCTCGCATCAGAGCCAGAAGCAGTGATCAGGAGAATGGAAGATGTTTAGATGTTCAGCACAAAGCTGCTTTTTCGGCTGGATTTGTCACACAGAAAGATATTACAGAATGCTGCACATTCCCAGGTGCCAGCTAATATCAAATATGCATAATAACACTAATAACACTATTGTTAGTACTACTACAGGCAGTCCCCTGGTTAAGAATGTCCGACTTACGGACAGCTCATACTTACAAAAGGAACTGCCATAAAGCCTATTATATTAAATATTCCCCTCTGTGAATCTCCACCTTCTCGTGGTGGAGGGGTTTGTGCCTCCATGATCCTAGCAGCACATTGGTCCTAGGTGAGTGGCCAGACCAAGTGCAGTCCAAACAGACTCCCATGATGATTAGGATAAAGGAGCATGTTGCCCCACCCGGACTGGGGAGACCACGGCTTTGCCCTGGAGCCAGAGCTTGAGGGCGAGTAGCTGGCGGCCGGACCTCCACCCATGGGGCCTTGCCGGGCATAGCCCAAAAAAATAACATGGGTCTGCCCTCCGTTGGTCGTCCTGGTTGCGGAACACAAGGATACTGGAGGGTTCATGGGAGTTTGCCCAACCAGTCTACATATGTTATGTGGCTTTGCAAAGTGGGAGGAGCCCCGGGGCAGACCCAGGTGACGCTGGAGAGGTTATGTCTCTCAGCTGGCCTGGGGACGGCTTGGAATTCCCCTGGGGGAGCTGGAGGAGGTGTTTGGTGAGAGGGAGGTCTGGGCATCCCTGCTTAGACTGCTGCAACGCCACTCTTAGTTAAATAAATTTCTTATAATAATGAACACAAACATGACTTTGTGATGCTCGTGAAAACATTGCACATCCTCAGCTGGAGGATAATATATACAAAATATAAATATATACTAGAAACTAAGACATTTAACTGAATGATGCTGAATATGAATCATATGTACCTGTACAATAATAATAATAATAATAATAATAATAATAATAATTAACTATCAAATTCACATTCTCATGTTTTTGGAATTACAAGATTCAAAGAAAACTCGTTCAACAGAATTTCTGTGGCTTAGGTCAGATTTTGATCTGTTCTTTTGCTTTTTTTCTTCTTGACATAGCTGTTCAAGCAGGCAGAAGCACCGAGCAGAGATGCTACCCCTTCACGCCACGTGGCATAGTGTCGCTGACCAGCACGTCCTGCTTGGAACGGTGCAGGAACCCTGCATTCAATACAGCTCCGTGCCTCCATTTAGCCTGAGTAACGTGGAGGCGTGGTCGGCCTATTACTCATGTTCTGTCACAGTCCCTCATACTAACGCCGCTATGAAATAAATAAAAAGTAAAACAGAAGCACGGCTCCGGCACGGTGGAGCCAGAACCCGCCAAGCTGCCAGCCTAATGCCACTTTAATGGCCAGTCCAGGTAACACCTGCAGCCTGGGGTATAAAAACTCGCCTCCCCATCTGTCTCAGTAAATAGTTAGTACTTTGGCCAAAGGAAGGCGATGCTGTATAGAAGAGGACCTCTCCCCCCCCCCCCCCCCCCCCCCCCCCCCCCCCCCCCCCACCACACACACACCCCCACCTTCCTGTGGAGGAAGGCCGAGGATGACTTACCAAAGACGTGCAGGAATAGCTCCTGCTCAGCCATGCCAGCCTTGTTGGAGGCCTTACAGGTGTAGGCCCCCCCATCGTCCTTCTGGATGCTGCGTACGGTCAGCGTGCTCCCCCTCCCTTTCAGGGTGTACTGGTCAGACTCCTCAAGCTGCTTCCCCCTCCTGGGCACAGACACACAAACATACACGGAGGCTTAGAAATCGTCACCGTCACAGGGATACAGGCAAAAGGGGCAGCGACGGCAATCGGGGGGTGAGAAGGAATTCAGCTAATAAATCCACATTTCAGTAAGGGGGGGGGGGAGGGGCTTTAGGGCAAAAGAAAGACATTTGGTGAGTTTTTTTTTGACTGTCAGTTTCTGCCAGTTGGAAGCAGGAGTATGGCTAGCAGGCAGGGACATACAGAACAAAATTTTAAGGAACTTCGGGGGAAGGAAGCTCCTGTATATTCTCTCTTGCGTTCTGCATATATAGCTAGTGGACCTCATTTCCGCAAGACAAATGAACTCTGCAGGGAGTTGGGATCCCTGCGCAGTCAGAGGGATGCGCTATGGAACAGCAGCAGATGGATATGTAATAAAATTCAAGTGTGCATCATTACAGATGAATCATAAATCAATTACAGTCATATATGCTAATGTCCTCACGCCAGGTGTAGGTGTAATAACATTAAAAACAGGCACATTCTCTTGGTGATTTATACAGCAATTGTAATGCTTTTTACATATTTATAAAGATAAGTATCTAATAAACAACAGCCACAAATATGTACAAAATGCTCTATTTGTGTATATTTCCATATACGCAGAGTACATTCCTTATACTGTAATATATTTTGGGTGTGCACAAAGAAAGCTTCGCAAATGTATGAAAGTTTAGGAAGGATCAACTCTCTTTGTAATCAGATGCATCTTGAAAACTTAATTAATTCCTTCGATAGTTAAACTTGCGTTGTCAGCCTCACACGGATGATTAGGACGGGTCTGATAATGTCAAACGTGCACCATATGCTTGGACAGGTGCAGTAATGTCAGGTGTCCATAATAATTTGGGTCGGCATTCCGCCGGGACACGGCAGGTCAGGTGTGAGAGTTTCAGGTGGGTACCATATGCTGGAACAGGTGTGCTAGTGGCAGAGTCATATCAGGATAAAAATGCGCATGCTTTTCTATAGTTTGGTTCTGACCATAAGATGAGACTGGGAGTTTGGGAGAACACTGGGCTCTCTGTGTTTAAGGTCGAATTATATATCAGGAATATCTACTTTAGGAATGATCTCGAAAATTTCCCCCTACATTCTCCACTCACCTGTGCCAGGTGATGTCTGGGTCGGGCGATCCGTATGCCCGGCAGGTGAAAGTTACCGATTCGTGGTAATCCGCCGTGGCGTTGAAGGACTGCTGTGGCACGGACAGCACTGGTGGTACTGTGGGCAAGGGGACGAGTGAGAGAGAGAGAGAGAGAGAGAGAGAGGTGGTTAGTCCATGAGCTGATTTCCAAAAACAAAACAATAACCCGAAACTAATAAGCTGGCGGCAGAGAGACGTGACCCCGCTGCCCCCTACTGTTAAAACACACAAACGCCTTCCGCCAAAATAACTTTATAGAACGCCATTTGATAAAATGAACTGCTTGCTCAAAGTGCACTAACACCAGGCCCGCGGATTGTGTTAGGCCTTTGATCCTGGATCGATGGTACCCCGCCCCAGCACCCGGCTCAAAGCTCGTTGCATTTCCCAGACAAATGGATGTGGCACTGGGAGACTAAGTACTACTCGTGATTTGATCAATAATTAAATGTCATTTCTGAGAATGGCTTCTGTGGGACAGCTGCACAGATGCCTGATGACGGAATGAGGTTCTAACTGGCTCCAGCAGCATTCCTGTCTAAGGAACCTTCTGCGGCATTGCCAGACAATCACCATCATGCCGACATATAAAATAACATGTGACCTCTTGTATAAAATTGATATAATACACTATACATACACTAGGTGCCACCAGTCTAGGGAGGTGGAGTCATGTGACTGTAATCACCCACAATGATTCGCTCGTTTTATACTTAACTGATGTATCTGTATTTTTTTTTTTCTTAATCCAAAGCGACTTACAGTAGAGGGAATGTTTAATTTTTTTAGCCTGCAAGTCGAGCTACATGACAGAGTATCACATTTTAAAAAAAATTTCACCTCATCAGCAGAAATACAGCATGAAGTACTCTGGTCTTTTTCATTCCATAGTACTGTTAATCCACACAGGAGACCAGGGTACTTGTCACTGTTTCTGTGAAGTATACTTTTAAATCATAGTGTCACTGAGTGTTAGTGTGTCCATGTTCTGGGGGCTTAAGCTGCATGCCCAGAACATAAGCATCACACTGACTCTTTTGAACATGTGAAGGTGAATAGCACTGTCCTGCCTCCTGAATGGTGTCTTGACACAGGCAGGAAGTGGAAACAGTTAGTGGAAAGTAGAAAAATAGGGAACAGGAAGTGGAACCAGAAATTAAACATTAAACTGGGGATTTCTGTGATGTACACAGCCAGAAAGTGTGAATAGGAAGTGAAAAATGGAAACCAGAAGTGGGAACAGGAACAGAAAGTGAGACCAGGAAGTGAAAGTGATAACAGGAAGTGAGCGATAACAGGAAGTGTAGACTATGAAAATTGTGTATAAAATAGAATATCTTCTGTACAGGCTTCATCCCATTTAACACACTAAGTCCACACTTACACACTACCACTTAGTGCTAGTATTCAAGGGTGTCCTGTCCCACAAATAAGGCAAGCGTAACATGCTTGACATGCACTTTATTCACACTTTGGTAAATATCGCATGTAAGCCGTCTTTGGCTTAGTATATAGACCACAATGCACCGCATCAGTGATGACTGATGTTGACACTGCACATGAGGTATTCTGTTGGCTAGTCCAATGACATTACATAGCCTGGGCTGCAACAAAGGACAAACCCAAACACAACCAAGACAAATGACAACATAGTCATAATGTGCTTCTTGTTTACCTCTTCGGATATCAAGCATGTCCCATTGGACTCCCTGTGCACTTGAGCTCTTTCGTACACTTGAATACTTTGTGTCTTAGGTCAACATGTGTCATCAAAGTGTGTAGTATCTCAGTGCACTTGCCCATATGTAGGGCAAATAAGATTAAGCCATAGACTCAATTTTGTAGAAAGTGGGAAACCAGAAGTGAAATTGGGAACAGGGAGTGGGACCAGGAAGTGGGACCAGGAAGTGGGAGCAGGAAGTGGAGGCAGGAAATCAGATGAAACTGGCTGTGAAAAAGGGGCAGGAAACATGAACAATTTATGAAACCAATGAAAAATCTGGTGAGTATAAATCTAGCAGAGGGGATGTCAGGAGAAACTGGAAGTGAAAGTGTAAGATACTGTAGGTATCAGCATGATACTTGACAAACTGGAAGTGAGAGAGGAAGATACTGTTGGTTACAGGGGAAACAGGAAGTCAAAGGTGCTGTAGGTTAAAAGGGAAACAGCAAAGCAATGACACAATGAAGGTGTTTTAGCTTACTGGGGAACCAGGAAATTACAGAGGAAGACACTGTAGAATACAAGGGAAACAGGAAGTGAAAGATGAAGATGCTGCAGTACTCTATCTGCACAGAATAATCCACACAGGCTACATGGAAACAGGTGGAAAATTACAGAATTCATCCATCCTTCCATTTTCCAGACCCGTTTATCCTATGCTGGGTCACGGGGAGCGAAGCCTATGGGGACACTCACAGGGCACACTCACAGGGCACACTCACAGGGCACGCTCACAGGGCACGCTCACAAGGCACACTCACAGGGCACGCTCACCATTCATGCACACTTATTCACACCTATGAACAATTTGCCAACTACAGTTCACCTTAGCATGTAGTACTGTGAGGGGAACCAGAGTCCACAGAGGAAACCCACACAATTCATGCTGACCAATATCATACAGTATAAGGCATCTATCTATAAAAACCCACTCATGGTTTGTTAATCACGCCAGTTCATGCGTTGCATTACTTAACATCTGCTTCTGAGATCTTTACGGCCGTATCTCTAACTACATCGATCTTTGAAAATTTCTAGTCTGGCAGTTATATTTTTTAGCACAATTTTGTAGAGCACTAGAACAGTCTAGAAAATTGCCTTCTATGAGCTATTGTATTAAAAAAAATTATAGAGGGATAATTTAGAACAGAAGACTACTTTGTTAAAATGAAATACAAAATTTCATGTAATACACATTTATAAAATTTATACAAAAGTACATGTTTTATTCATATCCTGTTCGTAGTCTGATTTAGGCATTTTATTTAATCAGCTTACACACTGCTCTCTCTCTCTGTCTCTCTACAGTTCACATTTGCTACTAAATATCACTACTGTTTACCGCACTGTAATAAAAGCACGATGGTGTTGCCTGGTATCTATTGAGGTACTTAAATAACTGGCCAGATCATGGCAGGTTTCACGGGCAGTCAGATAAATAGGAAAAAGAAATTGAATTGCTCCAGCCTTTCAAAGTTATTCCATAGCTGAGAACAATGACTGAAGTAATTTTTCACAGAGCACCAGAGGTCAGCCTTAGCAAATCCAATCATGACCATAAGAGTTCACATTTAGATCCGACCACACCGACTGGGAATGATGCACGATTAATCTGAATAATTAAATAAAGTAAACTGACAGAACTGTCTTGGGCTTTCGTATCATTACTGTGTTTAGGTTGGGGACTTTATCCGGTGTTAAGTACTGATTCCTCAAAAGCGATGTGCAGAAGTGCAGATTCATACACAGAAGTTGTCCTATCAAGTGTTCAGTATGTTTAAATAAAATCTTGAGCATGATCAGATACAGTAAATAAGATGGTTTAGACATTAACAGTTGTATGAAACAAGTTGCTTTAAAACTTCTAAAAAAAAAAAAAATCAAGGATAGAGGTAATATTCTGCAGAAATGTGTCACAGATGACCACATACCTGCATCTACATCCTCAACTCCAACCTTGAAAAGGTGAGACCAGAACAAGCTGATACAGTGAGCGTCAAAGAGCTTGTTCCTTACAGCTAAATAAATCCCCTCATCTTGAACACATTAAGAAAGTGACAAGGATGCTGGTAAAACTAATCACTGGAAGGCTGGGGATGGGGATGGGGAGGCTCAGCGACGCGCTGACCTTGACTGCCGCGCTGTTACATCCTGATCCTTCTGTGTCCGCATTGCATCACCGGCAGCACACCTGGCCGCATCGCCATGGCACAGCGTGTTGTACGCCCTGTCAGCTCTGATCAGCTGCCTCTGCTTCTCCATCTCGCCGCCTCCCGCCTGCTCGCTGGAGTGTGGGAGCGTCACCTCCGCTAACGTTTCCGCGTTCTCCCTTTCCCCCTGCTTGCGCCGTCAGAAGGTGCGTGTCTCAGAAGTAACTCGACACTGGCTTAGCAGGTTAGGTTGCTGTGCCTGTGATTTGAAGGTCGCTGGTTCCAATCCCCTGACTGCTAGAGTGATGTCACTGTTGGGTCCTCAAGCAAGCCCCCTAGCCCCCACTTATTCCTTGAGATTGTCTGAAGAATGTGGGGCCCTTTGGCTGGGACGGGTGGGCCCCCCCTGTACTGCACATGACTGTAGACAAAATAAACCTATTGATAGTTTTGCTACATAGTGATTGGCTAGTGCACGGCTCTGATAGGCTAGCATTCCGATGCAGATTGAGTGCACAGGCAGCAGTGGGAGACTTTAAAGGCACTGCACAACTTGCTAGTCAATGGTAAAATCAGGTCAGTTGATAACAGTTTAAACACTATGCTATCTAAGGTGATTTCCAAATGTAATTTAAGGTGGTGGAATTTGTCATAACAAGTGAAATGAGTTGGGCTGTCTTTAGCTAGGGGTACAGTATAAATAATGTTAGCTAGCATAAGGGTTACCATAGTTAGCTAAATATCCAAGATTATGGCGTTTATCAGACGTTTGTTTCGAAAGTGACTTCCATTGTCCAAATACAGGGACAGCCTAACTGCATCACTACTTGTCTACATGCAGTGCAGTGTTGCAGTGTTTGATCAGTCAGTGCATGCGTCTTTAGATTTCTCATGCACACAAGGTCTTTCCATGATCTTTGATGATACACATGTAGTCTATCTATTGGCATTATTAAATTGTCTACAAGGAGATTGGAAAGATTGTAAACAGTTTTATTCTGATCTGCCAAGTGGAACCACCAACAAAATGACTGGACATAGATGCCCCCCCCCCCAAGTAGAAATGTGCTGGCTACGCCCCTGCCTTTGGGTGAAAACATCTGCTAATTAAATAAGATGTGAATTTAAGGACAGGTCTTCAGAGACTGATATGTCCCAAACGAGCATCTTTGATGTTTAGCGTGAGAATAAATCAGGTGAGGTTTTGGCATTTACGTTTATGTATTCATACAGGTGACGCTTCTGCCTCACTGCTGCAGAATGCAAAAGCATCATAAGGGCGTCCGAAAGAAACGCCTGAGGGACCCACCGCAACGAACCTGCAGGACGTCCTTATGAAGGCTCTAAGTAGGTATACAGGAATATAGGAACGTCAGGAGGGTGCATACTGTACAGTACTTAGTGTAAACAGTCACTAGAGGATTCAATGTATAATACAACATAAAATGGCAATATTAGAGCAGTGAAGGGCATGGATTTCAACATGCTGACCTCTTGCCTTCTCCTTAGGGGGTGGTTTGTTTTTTTGATAAGTCACTTGCCCCCTCAGTGTAGGGGGGTATGCAAATGCATGGTGGTAGTGATGGTAAGCACTGCTGTTGCTCCTTCTCAGCCAAGGGTGTAGATTTAGGTATGAATGGTAGGGATTTGTCCCCATCAATATTGTGGGAGTGTATTTAGGGGGGCGGGGGGGTTTGGGGCTAATTTAGTCCCTACCAGTGCAGAAACCAGACGTGCTCTCAGTGGGTGGAGCTTTCACATGAACGAAAACCCAAGGTCTGTGCTTCAGAGACACTTTAGCAGTCTCCTGCACCCCAGGGTATTCTTCAGTACTTGGAAGGGAGCCGTTAGCTACCCCAGTAGGCACACGGACATCATTCAGGGCTCAAACTATTGGCGTGAGGGGAAAACGACGCGTCGTGGCCCACAGATATGTTGTGATAAACCATCCCTGGTGTGACTACGGATGACTTTCCCGCTCAGGCACGATATTTCTGGCACAGTCGCTGAGAAGGGCCATTTATCCGCTCTGAAGAAACTTGGAAAACCGGCTGTCAAGTTATACAATTCCTCAGACTGAGGAAAGAACCAGAACATTCACAAACAACAATCACCTTCTCCAGGTGAATGACGAACAGAACATCCATTTAGGGGTGGTGCAAAAAATATATATACAATGGAACATGTCATGTAGCAATCCAATATCTTGAATTATGCTGCTATGAATTATGCAAACTCTGCATCTCTGTCCATTTATGTATTAAATAAGTTACAATTCAATTTTGTTTCATTCAATAAGGATAAGATTGCATATTTTTGTTTTTAAATATTTAAAATGTTATTTAAAAATGTAAGCTTATCGTTTAAATGGAAAACAAACGTTTGCAAAACCCCAGTCATAGTTTACCCTTATAAAGCATTTAAGATTAAGCTGATTTTTAAAGTGCAGCTCGTACTCATTTAGAAACAATTTCCTATTTAAATAATGTTTAGGCCTATGTCAAAGGGTCCTCAGGCAGCTCTCTACATGGAAACGCAAAGACAGCTTATTTTCCTGCATAAAAATAAAACGTAACGTGTTGTAAAATGTCTCCTTTGTGCTCTGGGTTACATTTTCATTACGCCTGAGATTAAATTAATGATTTTTGCGTACGTTCAGGCGCTAAATGTCAGCCCATGTCCGTACCGGCGGCTTCGCTAATCTTAATGACTTGTGTAATGGGGACCCGGTTTACCACGGACAAATGTTTTGTAGGTAGAAAAACAAAAACAATACTTTATTTTTTTCGCATTTTTTATTGCTATTGGATATTCACAGGCTGCTGTGTAGCCTCCCCTGAGATCCCCCAGCAACTGATCGATTAACCTTTGCATTTGGCGAACAACAATGTTAGGCTGGTACAGCTACTAAATTATAAATAAGGAAAATAAAGAAGATGAAATGGTAATTGGGTATTCATTGGGCTTCTTGTAGTATAAATCCGGGTTCTTTCATCTTTTATCTTTTTATTTGTTAATTGATAATTGCATAAGAAGTTAAGACACCGATCAAATTTAAAATCTTTTAAATTTTTGCCTTGATTGTTAAATTTTCTTTAACTTTTTCTGAAGTTCCCATCTATTCTTTACAAGAGTAACGGGTTTCCTCTTCTATTTCTATTTACCGGCTTGAAAATTCTGGGGGTTTCTGGAATATTCCAGGGCTGCTCATAAATTCGGTCTTCAGAAGCACTCCTCCCGGTGCGATGCTTTAATGGCTATCATGATAATGGGCAGCAATAGGTTTTACACTGGGCACCGCCTGGTAGTTTCGTGCAAGCTACCCAAGACTCGGACGGATCTGTAAACCACGTACAGTACAACACGTTCCGCATGCCCAGTTCTGATCACCCGGACCTATTTCTACATTCACTGGCCTGGGAACAGCAGCACCTGGTAATCAGTAGCGATAGGAATAACAGCCCTATGAAGGGACCGGAACTAACGGCTCCTTTCCTTTCATGTGTGATCATAGTTCTGTTTTTTTCTTAGGGGGAGGGGCTTGCTAGGTTCTAGGCTCTGTGAAATAATCACTGGGATAATGATAGAGTAAGATTTGCATCAGATTCAGCTTTAGATACCCTGCTAGGATAATTTCAACTAATTTCAACGGTCCACAAATTTAAACTTTGTGGACTCGGCTTGGCTGCACCCTCTCTCTCTCGTCCGTTGAGCCCGGGAAGGAGGAAGCCACTTTGAATGGTGTGTTTACAAACAGCGACCGACAAATCCAGCTCATTCTGCCTTTAAGGAACCCAACAGACACCGTTTATCTCGTGTGACTGGCTGGTTCTCACTGTTCACGTAAAGAGGAGGGCTGTTGAAAAGAATCAGATTGCTCACAAACATAACGGCACTAGTAGTGACTGATGGTGACACAATGTGTCGCCTTGTCCAGCTAAATCACTATCTGTAAGAATTTTTTTTTTTTAAACTACCTGTGTGCCAGGCCAGGAAGCTCATATGGAGGGCACTGATTGGCAGTCACTGCGTTTTCTGTGATTTACGGATATTTGATAGTCACTCATGCCTCATCTCTTCAGTTGAATAAAGTCTGTTTTTGATTGTTATGGCTGGGGCGGGCCGCCGGAAGGCCCCCACCCTGGTTAAAAATCTGAAATGAGCGTTTGGACTCCAAATGCACATTTCAGGTTTTTTGTTTCTCTGTCTGAGTGGCTGTTCGAGTGGCGAGGCCTTGGTGATGATTGTAAATGCTGCCAATAGCAAAACGTTTTTTTTTTTATTTTCTGGGTCTGATTCATTTAGCGGCCAGATTCTGCAACTTGTCTATTAAATTACAGGCGCGGTGAAAACAACAATAAAAAAAGAGACTGACAGCAATAATAAAGTAAAAAAACATGCACATATACAATAAGGGTAGAATGTGCGACGCAAAGATGAGGGACTTGCAATTATTTGCCCTTAAAATAAAGACGGATTGAGAATTAACCTGCTGAATAGGTTCATAGAGATTCACCCAGATAAAGCGTTTGGCCCTGAGTGAAAACAAGCAGCTGAACCCCACAGCAATAACAAAAATCTGTGTATCTACACTGGCGAGTCGGCGCAAGGATGAGGGGTCCGTGTCACAGAAGACTTTAAAATCCATAAAACTCATATTTTAAAGCAGATTCTGCCAGCCATAAGCTCATTTGGGTGCCGACAATGTGAAAAATCCAGTAGCATTGATTGGCTGTGTCTAAATCTCTCCCGAAACTTCTAAAAAATATATAACAATTGAATTCTCTGTCATCTTTGCCTACTGTTGCAGGGTTTGACTGTGAAAATCATTATTGTTGTTTTAGGGTACCAATAATGTTCTTGGCTAAGAAAATATGAGAAAATAGAATAAAATACTCCCACTTCTCTGAGGATCTTGTATATCTTTGTGTTACCCTGCTGTAGATATATAAACATTGAGTATGGTGTAAAATCATCATGATTTTTAAAACCTGCCTGGCTCTTTATTTTATTACCTTCATAACCCTATCATCCATAGTATATTACATAACAGTATTTCGTCATGCCTTTGACATAAAATATCTCCCCTCCCCCAAAGATGCAAGTACATACACCAAAGCAGCAAGCGCTGGGAAACCACATCAACACAACCTGCAGGAGGACGGTGAGGACCTGGCTGGGAAGAGACCCGGCGAGTCGCAGCCGGTCCCCGTCTATGATGTCAGCATGGCAACAGAACCCACCAATCAGGGCTGAGTGTCTCTGTTGTTACAGACAGGCAGGGGCAGGTCTGTTGTTTCTTGGGCCCTATTCAAAAAGTGACTTCGGGCCCCTCACGTTCCTCAGATGTTTCAAACTAAATTAATAGCTAGTGAGTAGAGTCAGAAGATCATAGCTAAGAAGGTGGTTAGCAGAACATGATGCTTCAGCATCTCCTAAATAAGACATTAATATAATATTTAGTGTAGTGACTGTGTGTGGCCAACAGGGGGCCCCACACAAATGCATGGTTTGAATGTTGCTAAACACCACCACTGAGGACAGGTGTAGCTTTGTGGGGTATTATGACTGCAGAACGGTAACTCTGGGCCTGTGAGAGATAACGTCGAGCAGCAGATGTCGTTACTCACGCACCCCCTTGATGCCGCACTCACCGTTCACGACGAGGTTGATGTCCCTGAAGTCGATCTCTCCCCTGGCCTCCACACGCGCCTCACAGCGATACACCCCCTCATCCGTCTTGCTCACTTTGTGGATCTGCAGGTTGTTGTTGGCCAGAACCTGAAATCGATCTGCCGGGGTGGGGGGGACACAGAGAGATGGGGGGGTTGGCGCCGTGTGTGGGGGCAGCATCTGCACTCGCGTAGCGTCATGCTGCGCTGACGGCCGGTCAACCTGCGGCTTCAGAGTTTATAATCCGACGGTTTAAACAATAATTTGTGATGTTCTAGGTGTGAAAAGCCACCTAAAATGGCCATTTGACACATGAAAGGTTTCGCGAGTTTTGTCATTACTACAAAATTTTAACCAAATGACTTGGTCACGGTTTGTGGACAGGAGGGGAAAACAGTTAAGCGGCTGAAATGCAACTTGAGAAAAGCCAGCTGGTCTTGGCAGAAGCTCTACATCTGTCCTGAAGACCCTCTTCCCTGTCTGTCTACCTGTCTGTCTGTCTGTCTGCTGCCTGCTGCCTGCTTCTGTCTGCCTGTCTGTCTGCCTGTCTGTCTGCGTCTGTCTGTCTGCCTGTCTGCTGCCTGCGTCTGTCTGCCTGCCTGTCTGTCTGTCTGTCTGTCTATCTGCCAGTCTGTCTGTATGTCAGTCTGTGTATCTAATCTGATGTGGTACATTCAGTTGGTGGTTTGTAGAACATTATTGAAGACAACGTGGACATTATCCCATGTTTGTTTCACATTGAAGCTGTCCTTTTCTCTTTGGGGTGCACAGGTTCCTTGAGCAGACAGTGGGGTTCGCGATGCTGCTCCCTGAGAGTGCAAATGGTGCCTCGCCTTGAGGGCTCAGAGATCAGCGGCATACTCATCTGTTTGCTCAAACAAAGAGCAGAGAACAGATTCCACTCTGGGCACAAAGAATGAATAGACAGCATGCTGCCTGGAGAGCAGCACACGGGAGAAGAGCAGGGGCAAAGGAGGGGTGTAGGGGACTGGGAGGAGATCAGGGGGAGGAGAGGAGAGCAGGAGATCGGAGGAGTGCAGGGGTAGGGGAGAAGAGCAGGGAACTGGCTGGAGAACACAGGCAGGAGAGGAGAGCAAGGGACCAGGAGGAGATCAGGAGACGAGGAGGAGATGAGGGTACTAGCAGGAGAACTGGAGGAGAACAGACGCAGGGGAGAAGTGAAGGGGAACAGGAGGAGAACAGGGGCAAGGAGGAAAGCAGGAAATGGAGGTCCTAAAGGAGCCTGGTCTTCATGACATTTCCATCATAAAGCACAGTCCTTGGTACTTAATATCGGCATGTAATATTGGTGCGTTACATTGGCGCATTACATTGGCGCGTAACATCGGCGCGTAACATCGGCGCGTAACATCGGCGCGTATGCAGGGTGAGTATGAAAGGCGCCCTGTCAGTGGGGATTATCAGGCCGCGATTAGCATCATGGGGTCTGACACGATAACCATTCATAAGGCATCGTCTGGTGGATGGAAGAGAGACGTTTACAGGTTGATACAAATTACTTAATATAAAACACTTAATTCAGTTGTCAGTATGCGACTTAACGCTGGCTTTCTATTTTTGACACACACAGAAAGTGTTTATTAATGCAATTTCTGTCATGAGATGCCTTGTCTGAATTTGCATAGCAATGTGACTACTCACGTCCCTGGAGATGATCGTGTGTCGTCATGGCAACGTGTATGGGGGGGCTCACCTTTTTTGGCAGCAGTGATCTCCATGTTGTTGTAGTACCACGACACCATGGGCACAGGCGAGCTGGTGACATCGCACACCACCTCCGCCACCTCCCCCTGCCGGAACTCCTGGGGTGACAGAATCTCCCGGAAGGTCAGCCTCTCTGTGGCACAGTAATATGGATGCAGAGGGTCAGGCTCCCTGACGGTCCCGCGACCTGGTGACCTCCGGCAGCAGCGGAGAAGACGGGAAGCAGCACAATCTGCACTCGTGCATTATGGACTTGAACCATTTAAATTTCCCATTTTATTTTGGTAGCTTCTGCTAGACAAAACAAAAACACATTAGCATAAATGCTCAGGGAAGCCATCAGCATCGCATTAAAAAATGTGGCTGGCCCATAGGCTCCGGGTGCGACCCCCTGGGACGTTGCATTAGTCATCTGCAGGCAGGAGGTCCAGGAAAAAAACACTAAATAAAAACCACAGGGGCAGGAGACTGCTTTCCCCTACGTCTTATCCCCTATGATGCCGGTGTTGTATGAGGTGGTGTCCAGGTTTGCCGGGTGTCACTCTCCTCATCGCTTTGCAAAGTCGAGGATGAAACAGCTGGCTGACAGTATGCACATGAGAAGGGAGGGGGGGGTGAGATAGCACCGGGATAGGATGGTGCCACGAATCACGGCGGTGCAGCTGAGCCTCTTCCTAAGAGGGCATTTCCATTAAGCATTAAAATATTCTGCATCAGTAGTGACCCCAGTAGAGGCATCTAAAGTGTTAGCAGTGCACTCACCAGTTACAGACATTCATGTCAGTTACCTGAGTATAAGAATGAGAAAGTTTTTGCCTCTTTAACTAAGAGCATCACCCTATTTCCTGAACAGCTCTCGCTGTCTGTGTCATGTGACATCCCTATTTACGTATCTTGAAGCCTTTTCTTGTATGGTGTGTGGCTTAGCAGGTTACGTCTCTGTGCCTGTGATCGGAAGGTTGTTGGATCAAATGTCAGCATTGGTGAAATGATGTCACCGTTGGGTCTTTGAACAAGGCTCCTAACCTCCAATGGCTCCAGGGACTGGCTAGTTCTTCCTTCTCAGAAATGTATGTTACTTTGGATATTAGTGTCTGCTACATGAATAGCCCACCTGCCCCCACTAAGAACTCTGATTGTCTTTGATCTAAAACGCCAGTAGACACCAAAATAAGCTGAAGCTCTCCTTTGTTTTCAACTGTGTTGTTTTCATTCAGTTCCTACAAAAATATTCACACGTGCTTATAATTTAGCCTGCATGGTCGCAATCCTCCCCTTGTGTTTTCTCTTCGTTTTCATCCAGTGTTTCCGTTTGCCCTTTCCATTCGTTTTGAGAGTACACGGTAATTGAACGTGATAACGTTAAACACGGTAACTCCACGGTTCTCTCTCCTTTGTGCGTTCTTAAATTGAAAGGCTGTGTTTGTGCGTGCGTGTGCGTGCATGTGCGTGCGTGTGCGTGCGTGAGCGTCTCCCTGAAACCGTTGCCGCATGGCTTCGCCGACTTAGAATCACATTCACATCAAGCGGCTCTCCTGCCGCATCCAGACAAAGCATGGCCGACCTCAATTTGCCGCTCCCTGCAATCGTGGTGTCGTTCTTCGGCAGAGACTGAAAACAAACATGGTCTTTGTCTTGTGCGGGAGGGGGGAATGGGCAGAAAACGTCCAACAGAGATTCAGCAGTCGGGGTTTAGCTCAATCGATGAGGTGGATTTTGAGTACAACATACAGTAATGCCATGTTATGTGAATTCAGTTAAGTCACATGTTGCCCTTTATTACGCATCTGCTGCTTTTCTGTATCTGGGTCCCTGACCAGGAGAAGCAGCAGGACGGACGCACAGATCATCCCTGATGAACAAATAGCTCACAAATGCCAACCTAATGACTTCTTACTTTTGTATGCATGACAATTGCACCCTGGGGTCAAAAAGTTTTATTTTATCTTATAAACGAATCAAGTTTTGGGTACATAATAATAAATAATACTGTACACAATAAAACATTTTCTATCATTTTTATACATCCTGGTCCAAATTTAACTAAACATGCATATTTTCTTGGTGATAAAGCATGTGCTTTAATGTAAAGTTAAAAAATTGTAGCAAATGGTGGCTGGTGAAATGAGGGGCCAAAATGGATGGTGGGAGGGATTTTTGCGACCTGTCAATCATTTGCTGTCCAATGATGATAACCCCTGAGGGCAGGGCTTTGGAAGGCCTGTTCCTTCCGTGACTAATCATCAGAAGGAAAAATACTTTGAAGTTTAATTTTAAGAAATTTGCCTTTTGTTCCTTTGAGATCACAAATACACTAATTCTGCAAGATGGCTGAATCCTGGCCTTTATAGTTTCTATAACTTCTCAGTAGGTTATTTTCTATGCACAACTTCCTTAGGTACCATCCATCCATCTTCTGAAACTGCTTGTGCTATTCAGGATTGTGGGGGGTCTGGAGCCTATCCCGGAGGCCATGGGTACAAGGCAGGGAACGACTCAGGATGAGGTGCTGACCCATAGTAGGGCACACTCACACACCATTTACTCACACTCACACACACCATTCACTCACACTCACACACCATTTACTCACACTCACACACCATTCACTCACACGCACACACCATTCACTCACACTCACACACCATTCACTCACACGCACACCTAAGGGCAATTTGGTACCTCCAATTAGCCTCTGCATGTTTTCGGACTGGGGGGGACTGGAGTACCTGGAAGAAACCCCACAATGACATGGGGAGCACATGCAAACTCCACACGCATGAAACCATGACAGGGGCTCGAATCCCAGCCCCAGAAGGGTAAGAGAATAGTGCTAACCATTGCATCACAATACCACCCCTTCCTTAAGTACCAAAGGCGGGATTTCACATTTTAGATACCATCTCCTGTTAAGTAAGACAATCACACGTCTAACCTGGTGATACAGTTAAAAGGTCAGTGACCTCTGACCTCTGACATAAATCGGGAACACTCACGGTAAATCTCCAGCACCACTGTCGCCTCCCGCGTCTGCCCGCTGGCGTCGGTGGCCTGGCAGCGGTAGATCCCGGCATCTTCCACGTTGGCGTTGTAGATGGTGAGCCGTGACCGCACCCCCTCCGTGTGCAGGGACACACGTGACGACGACAGGATGCGTTCCCCCTGTGGGTTGTACCACTCCAGGTTGACAGGCTCCCCAATGGCTGGAAGGTGCCGGAAACAGGAGGGTCACGGGGGAGTGTGTTCAGGTGTGTGTGTGTCTCATGTCGGCACCCACAGCAGATTGAAAACTTTCAGTAAATAATGAATGCGCCCCGCGGTGGAGAAGGTCACGCTAGCTGGCTCAGACACCAGCCACACATATTATCTTTAATGCTTAGCTGTGATGAGCAACATACCATCCGGGCCTCTGGAAATTCAGCTGGTGAATCCTCCTCTGGCCCTTTCTCGGCGAATACACTCCCTAAGCAGCCCGACTTCCGATTCCGTCTGCTCTCTTTTGTACGACAAGATAACCAAATCTGGATTCATGCTGAATCTGGCCTGGCGCTTTTGGAGAGGATGACCAGAAGCCCATCCAGCTCTCTCTCTCTCTCTCTCTGTCTCTCTCTCTCTCTCTGAATCTCTCTCTCTCCCTCCGTAACCGGGATTATCTCCCAGCTACACTTTCGTCTGGGTCAAGGTTGTGTTCGAACACACACTCATACACAAAAACACAGGCACGCACGTAGGAACCAGGGGGGCGGGCCCCGTACCCCTCAATACTTAATTTGCCTTAATTCATCTCCCCCCAAAAATAGGCGTCTGCATTTAAATTGCAAAGTAGTGCCTCCCCCAATATCATACTCTCTCCTAAGTCCTTGCAGACCGGCAAACTTCAACACACACAAGCACAAGGTACAGAGCCTACATGTTCACGTTTACTAGAATGTCAAGGTCAAAAGTGTACTGTTCTCTAACTTTATACCTAGTCCAGCTGAATGTGTGCTGTTTTATAGAACAGTGTGCACAGGACACCATTAATCAGTATCCTCCACCTCCAATGTCTTCAGGAGAAATGGATCCTGACAGGGTACCCTGTCTCAGTGCAGTTATTCATGACACAGCCATGTATTTTTGTACATTTGATTTTTAGCTTAATTTTCTTTGTATCCCGCAAATAAATTCTGAATTAGTTCTTGCGGAAAGATAAATCCTGATTAATGAGCAATAACAATAATAATTCACTCAAGACAAGGCTTTGGAGATAAAAATCTTTCACAATTAGGGACAATTCATCCGGGAACAGAGAAATATTGAAAAGGATATTATCCTTGTCTCACCCTGGGTAATGTTTACTATGTATACATGCCCCTCAGGTAATGGGAGTAAAAATTAGCTATGCCTTTATCCCAGTTGTGCTGTCAGCTTCTACCCATCATGCTTTGTGGTAATTGATTCAGCTCTTCTGGGAGGAAGCTGTTGAGATGTGGCATTCCAGAGTCGCTTTGTGTGACCTCATTAACTTTGGCAGTGTAAATGCGGCAAGGAGCGATGTCTGTTTGGCGAGGGGGACGCACTGCCATTTCCCGCCACTCCTTCGATTTCCTTTTCGCGGCCGTGCATAAGGTGGGAGGCTGGGGGGGGGGGAGGGGCACCCCCTTGGAAATCCTGCAGTAACAGGTGTGTCAGATTCCAGGAAGCGGTGAGGGGTTTCAGCTGTGACTAATTAGCGATAATGCTTAATGATGTTGACATTACTTGGAAGCTGCTCACCGAAGACTGGAAAGATTAATGTCCCATTCTCAAAATAGACGCGTCGGAAATTTCCAGAACGTATTGCCGGCCCTTAAAAGCACTTTTTTTTGGCGTCAAAAAGGCAGCACGTCAGAAAGAATATTTACAGCACATGAGTGTGTTAATTCGCATAGACAGGAATATTAATGAATGTTTTACCTGGGCTCTGACAGTTTATTTATCAGTTATATTTGCAGAGCATGATGGTCCTCTGGTGTACTGAGGCTTCAGCGGAGATATCTTTATACACGCTCTGACTGCGATGCAGAGGTGCAAGTCCTGCTGCTTTTGCTGTCACCTTGTGTTCCAGAAACACCTCTCCAAGGACATTGTGTCGCCCAGGGATGTCCGAGCAAGAAGACCAAAAATCTCATGCATTCTTGGGGCGTTCCAGCAGAGGGCGCTCCAGCACCCCGTGGACGAACAGCTCCATCGGCAACCCCTAGGAGTTTGGGCTCGGCACTTCTGGAAGTTCAGGGTTGGGGGGTTGAGTGTGTGTGTGTGTGGGGAGGGTAGAACACAGCTAGCGACCTGTCAACCAGGGCGTCGTACCGATTTAGCACTCCGGGTGCTGCCGTGTGTCTGTTTACGTGAACTGCCTCGTATGAGAAGTTTCTTGGGATCCCGTCACCAGGGCGGATCACACCGCAGGAGGCCGGAGTCGCTTTTTTAGCTTTTTGGGGAACGTATCCTCTCATTTACATGCAGTGACTTAAGTAACTGAGGAAAAAAATGATGTGTACACTGCAGGAGGCTTGATCTAGTCACTCCAGCTTTCATCTCTCTTTCTCTGTCTCTCTCTCTCTTTCTCCCCCTCTCTCTCTGCAAATATTCCCAGGTCTTCCATAATCATCCCGGGGCTTGTGGGTTTGTCTCTGAGGGCCTATTATATGGAACATGTGAGGGTCACACGGAGACAGTTAGCGGGAAAGATGCTGCCTGTGAATCATAGCCTAAACCGCACTGCAGGTCTGGCTACAGGAGGCCCGGCCCTGAGGGAAGGCATTTTGCATCCCTCAGGGACACGGTGGTTCTGTCACCGAGGCGATGTTGCCACATGATGGCCGCCGCCACATCGGGGGGAAGTGCATTAGAGAGGGTCTTCCCAGGAGTCATCCTCTCATCTTCAACAGGCCCTCGTGCGTGCTAATTGCCAGCTGGCGCCACGGGAGCCCGTCTCGATGGCGCACAGCTGGCTCTCGTCCGGCGTGGCACGGAGATTACCAGACACGCTAGGGCGCTGGGCTCTTCTCGAGAAGTGTCCGTTACCCCCACAGTGGCGGTGCGGGGCTGGACCGCAATGGCTAATACTTCCCAAAGATCCCCAAATGGACCAGATGGAACTAGTACCAAGATTTCTGGCTTCTGATCCATCACTTTCCCCCCCTGTGGGGGGTGGTGTTGAGGGTGGTAGGAGACAGAATCAGGGCTCTGTGCAGGGGCAAGCGGAGATGGATCAGAGCTGTATGCAAGGGGGAAGTGGGTAGAGTCATTGTAACTTGTCAGAAAAGGGGCGGGGTCAAGGGAAAGAACCAATGACGTGCAGCCAGCCTTACATGGAAATGATGGCTAGAAGCAAGTTGGAATGAGGCTGAATCCGAACTACAGGCAGCTGGAGACGGGTAATACTAATGGCTTTAAAAGCTCGTAATGGCCCTTGCCTGCCTGCTCACTGGAGTCGGGGCTGCTGTCTCGTGCCATCCTACGGGTAACAGTGGAGGCGATGAATGTAAAACAGCACGGAAGGCTGAGTTTGCAGTAACCAAGGCAACGCCATGCCCCCCTGCCCCCCCCCCCCCCCCCCCCACATTCACATGCTGGAGGTTCCACTCCCCGCTGGCTGCAGCCGCACCTTTTCGGAGAGATTGTGCCAAAGGAAAACAAACAAGTGGGACGTGTGAGTGATGGAAAGTCTCCCCGGGGGGGGGCGGGTGGGCTGGAGCCATCTCAGCCTGATTGTTTATTCCAGCATTAGCATAAGTGGCATAAACCTGCAGCGTTCATCCCTGCTGCTACTGGAACCTCTTTTCCAGTTAGACTTGAACCCTGACCCCACCCATCACAGGTAAAGGTGGCCCTACCCGAAATCCCTCATAGAAGCCAGTATCTCTGTCCCACATAATTTCCATTCCACCACCACCTGCTCTCCCTCTCTCTATCTCTGTGACCTCAGCACCACCCCCCACCACCTATATGTGGCCATGCTCCAATTTATTGTCAAACATCACTTACAGGCTTACTTAGCTCCACCCCTTTGCTGTTCCATAAACCTTGGCCCCACCCCCGACTTGAGCTCCACCCACTGACTTCCCATTCCATCATCACCCAAAGGTATACTTAGCCCCTCCCCTTGGCTGCTATATGTACTCTCCTGGCTCCTCCCCCCACTCCTTATATGTACGTACATATTTGCTTTAGTACTCCTTGCTGCTAAGAGAGCTGGAAGACTGACGCAGAGTGATATCGCACAGAAAGTCCCCCTGGTCCCGACACACACATGCTCTGCCTAAAATCTCTCACAACAACAAGCGATAACAGATGCTCGGCAGCTTTTATTTTTTTTACTGGGAATAGTGGTCCCTCGGTGAGCCCTGGAAACCAGTATCATTATTCTGTCCTTCTGTTTCATCTGCGCTTGAATAAGAGAGGGCTGCACCAGTCACCCACACCAGTCAGAAAGAAGCATGATATTTACACAATCCTGCCACAAATGCACTAGTCTTATTCGAACTATCTTTCCATTGGGGGCAATTATATTTCCGTGTATGCTTACCGGTGCAGGTGAAGAATTTGGATTCTCCAACGCTGAGCTCCACCTTATTCAGAGAGATGGACACCTGAAGGACAGCTGGGGGGAGAGAGGGAGGGGTCAGAGGTCAGCGGGGTGTGGTCAACGGGCGAGATCTAATACTGACATTAATAAAAGAAACAATGTCCATGCAAAAAAAGCAAAGTCAAGTCCCCAGGGGAGAGACAAGTCCTTCTTCGGTATGTCACATGTGACGTCCATCTCATAATAAGAGCGGAGCTTTAAAACAACCTTTGATCTTCCCTGTCATGAAGCTCTTTGATTATTTTGGCCCGGTCTTTGATTATTCTCTCCCTTTTACATAATTCTCCATTCAAAATACCTTCTGAAAAAAACTGGATAGCACACAAATAAAGATAAGAAATGAAAAAAAAAAACCAACTCTGAATCCAGGGTTTATTTGTTTAGCTGCACAATTGATCCACAAAGGTCAAAGCTAATGACTCAGTGAAAACAATAAATGTACAAATACATTTATACATTTTCTCAGACAACATGTCCGTCTGGAGCACTGCCTGTATATTAGTGGCAATTGTGTTGTTTTAACAAGTAATTTCCTCCTGCCCAGAACTTATTATTATGTTATTCTTGCGACAGATGAAAATATTTCCCTTTGGACCAGGGTGAGGAAAAATGTAAAGTGATTTATGATTGACAAGAAGATGTAAGTGTGCACAAACAGAGCTTAACATATTTGCACACACAGGCAGTCTCAGTGCTTATAGGTACGATAATTGGATGACAATATTAGGTGCAACGTCAGCTTACTGCCAAAAGAGGGCGATTATGTTCTGCCCTGAAAAAAAAGCACAAACCACAAATATTTATGAGCTTTAGGCCAATAGAAACACTTTAAATAATTTTGTTTCCTGATCTAGTTTTTCATGTGGACAGTGAGACATGTGACGAGTCACCACTTGATGATGGTTGGTTGGCTTTGTTTGCAAGGTGGCATATGACTTTGCACCATCATGGTCCTGAACAGGGATGATTCTAGGCTTTTGGAAAATGGGGCGTATAAGAGGACCCATAATTCATGCAGAGGGACCATTCTTATCATTAGCCAATGATATGTATTGGATTGGTGATTGACAGGGGATGGGGCATTCCGGGAACCAATCAGCTTTCAGCTAGGGCCAGTACCCCTGTGGCTCCTCCCCATATACACCCCTGTTCTGGTCTGTTCTTGGCTCTGTCTGTATTTGTGTGTTTATGTGCCATATTCTCCCTCCATGTTGAAAGAGATCTCTGCCCAGGGCACCCCCACAAACCCTGAAGTTTAGCAGCGTCAGTATCTAACCACGACCGACGGCTGCCATGGGCATGCATGTGCATTTGTGTTCATGATAAAACATGCCAGCTTGGCATCCCGCCCCGTGGGGGTAGAATGCTGCCTGGGTTTCAGCCCCCCACCCCTAGCCCCCTGCCTTATGCCTCTGGGACAGACTTCGGAACTCCAGCCATCCGGCATGTCAATCAGCACAGTTGGAGGGGACACCAAATTGCTCATACAATCAAAATCAGTTCATTATAAATGTAATACGAGAGGAACAGGACTTCTTGCATATGCATTACTGTCATGGGGTGGAGCCAAAACAACAGAAAAAAATCAAATCTAAGTCATTAATATGAATTTCCCCCTGTTAATCTTTATGGGCATCGTCTTCATATTCTGGTTGGATGCAGCTCTGATGAATAAATGCCCATGTAAGCAGGAAATGGGAACACATCAGGCATTCAGGGGGAAGTGTGATTTTGGGTCCGTTATAAACAATTTACAGCAGTGCCGCGTATTGAAAGATATGGACCAGAACCTAATGGTTCTGTAGTGGGGCGTAAAGATATGGACGGTTTCTGCTCGCCGACGTGGCCGGTGGCTGTCTGGCGTCAGGAAGACACAGTGCCCCCCCCCCCCACACCTCCACGTGGAGAAAATATGTCTCAATAAAAAGCCCATTATCAATCAGGCTTATCCAAGATGACTTCTCAGGCGGCCTCGGTGTCATGGACACATGATTAGGCTGGAGCATATGCAACCTGGGGGGGGGTACTGAAACAGACTCTGGCCCTGGTGAAGAGCGTGAGATCTTGCTCACTACTTTTCACATTTGATCCTGCACAGGAGCGAAACCGGATCCCTCTCAAAGTTGCCTCTTGAGGTGACCTCTGTTTAACGAGCTGCAGCATGAGTTTATGCTTATGAGAGTTTAACTTACACAAAATAGTACTGAAGGCAGAATGAAAAATGATTGCTTCCAAGACCTAACCAATCAGATTGCAGAGGAGGTGGGTCCAAGCAACTAGAGGAGGCGGGACCAAGACATCTGACTGTTTGGTCCCGCCTCTAGTTGCTTGGATCCACCTCCTCCACAAACTCCTATGAACTGAGTTTATGGAGGCATATCTATCTATCTATCTATCTATCTATCTATCTATCTATCTATCTATCTATCTATCTATCTAAAGGGGTAGATTTGTTATTTCTGAGGCCCCCACAAAGTGTAGTGACTGTTTGTGGCCAACAGGGGGCCAAACCTCCATGCTGACTACACATGGCATCATTTGCAGCACTAGCCACCGAATGCGGCATCTTCCACCTGCTATGGCATGAATAAGTAACCAGGCCGCTGGCAGATTAGAGTACAGCCATGCTGTCACTCTGGGTTCAGGAACCGGTTAAGCACCCTGTCCCCCTCAGCACCCCATAGTGCCAGAGGGCTGTCCCCTAGGACCTGCAGCTGCTGGATAGCCTTCACCTCACTCTCAGTATGCACTACAGGGGCCGTGGGCCGAGGGCGATGCCTGGGGCTTTCCCAGGTTCTCTCAGAAGTCGCAGATAATTATAGACCGTGCTGTCCGGCCGCTGGGTGCATGACTTGCGTTTAGTTAATTAGAGCTAAAATATGTGCTCCATGTGCATATATTTGTCGGAAAGCTCTGCAGCCTGTGTTCCATCCATTTGTAGCTGTTCATGCTTAATTAGAAGGCTGCTGAATGTTGGGATGTATTTCCGAATTTTCTCAAAGCACGCTGTCGGTAAACAAGCTCTGGTGTAACCTCGGGCTTCATGGCCAAGGGCGAGCGGTTGCTGGTGCGTCAACCACTTCCTCAAAAATGGGCGTGGGGCTCCAGAAAAGGGTCACATGGACACTGGGGTCCAGAGGCTCATGGGCCTCTCCTCAGAACACAGAGAACATCAAATCCGCTTGTTTATCTTAGCGAAGCACTTGCCAGTGAGAATTCAAAAGACCTAGGCAGAGACATTTTAGAGAAATGCTGTCTGACTTTTTTGACTGTGGTCCCAGAAACAACAAACCCACTCCTGTGTGCTCCTGTAGATGATCCAGCAGCAATGAAAGAAACACGTGTAGATTAGCATTAGCGATGTGCCCCATGCTTCCTGAGACTGGCTCACCACGATCACGGAATGTATCAGCGGTTATTGATGGACTGATGAGCGAACTGATGGCAGGGGATGCTTTAGGGAGAGGAAGCATACAGGCCAGACCATGTAGCCAACAGTATGAAGGATAAGGTCACCATGTTGAGTGACCATACTGTTCTTTTTTGGTTTTTTGTTTTAACCGCTGACACAGTAACCTAAGTTCAGATGAATCTGCCAAAACAACCTCTTGTGGAGACACTATTCACGGAGACATTGGCAGAGCAGGAAAGTGGAAACAACAGGCAACTAGCTAAGCAGAGGGTTAAGGAAAGGTGACCGTCGGTGACAGACAGGGATGACAAGTGCAATGGCCTCAGTGCCGTGCTCTGCCCGGGATGCCCTGAGCGATGATGTAATCCAGTGCCAACCACGGTCGGTGACCAGTGATGGATGCAGGGAGAGGCTGCAATGTGGGACTGTCTGGATGGGAAGAAGAGCAGAAGGCTGGCAGAGGTCTGGACCAGCCGTAGCTGGCTGGCGACGCACGGACAGCGGGAAGATGGAGCAGCCAGATGGAGATGCACGAGGTCTGGGCGAGCAATTTGCCGCTAGCGTTGGAATGAAATTATTTCAGATCGACTTAATTAAAATGAATCCTGCTAAAATCGGCCTGAAAGCCCCCGCAGTGGTGCTCATGTTAACCAGTTACCTGTAGCTACACGCATTACACCGTTTACCGTAAACATGGCGTCGTCGCGGGAACCACTCATTCGCCAATCACGGCGTAATGAAGGAGGCCTGCCCTTGCCAGTCTGGATTATACCAAAATGTCATTATCCTCAAGTGATTGACTCAGTGTGATTTGCTGATTAATTAAACATTTCGCTCAGGATCTGAAGTATCAGGGCTTGTCATCGGCTCATTAAAATTTCCGTCTCAAAATGTCATATAAAACATGGAAAAATCTCACTAAACATGTCCGTATTTTTTGTTTGGCGTACGATTAGATGGTGTATTGACTCCTTTGGTATGCATAGCTGAATATTTAAGTTTAAATAAGATGTTTATAAGGAATTTATGAAGACGTGCATTTAAGGTATATCTCTACTTTAAGCAGTGTCTCCTCTCCACAAAAAGCTGGAATCTCAAGTTCCTGCAGTCGGTTTTTGCTGGTATGAGAGACATCTGATCCTCCACGAGTGACTCATTCAGGATTTTCTCTCCAGATTCCCTCAGGTCCTCCAGTAAGCCTCAGCTAGACAGAAAGCAGTGCCCAGCCAACTGCCGTACCTGCAGCGTCACCTCCTGAGACTGTCATGCTATATGAAGTTCTATAATATGTAAATACTTAGCACAAACTCTGTGTGGCCCGCTTTGCAATGCGACACATCCTACAGGAATACTTTCACTCATCTCACACTTCCATGCTCTATGAAATATTTTACGCTTTGTCTACCTAATCTGGAAATCTGGATAAACATCAGATGTCTACAAAAAGCCCCAGATTTTGTGAAAAACATCCCCTTCCAAACTTTTTCGAATTATTGATTTTCTAGAAGCTCCAAGACTGTAGAAAAAATATAAAGATCCAAATCCATACATTTTTTGTGGAAATGTATAAATACATCGTTGATCACTTAACACACAAGAGGTG